GAGAACGGATAGTTAGCAAGTTAGGATAATTAATATAAACGGGTAAAATCTAAGTAATATAGCAGCTTTATTTGGTTAAAAACCACACTATGGAAGGGTGGATGGAGTTCATTAATAGGAAAGATTTGTTCTGAATGTTGTCTAAAGATATGAGAGCCATTTCCCAATATCTCAAGAGCTGTCACATGGAAGAGGGAGCAAGACTGTTTTCTCCGGCTCCGGGAGGGGGTGGGACTCGAACCAATGGCTTCAAGTTACAAGAAAGGAGATTCCTGATGTTTACATCAGGAAGAACATTCCGACAGTGAGAGCTGTTTGACTGTGGAACAGTCTCTATTGGAAAGCCTTCCTTTGGAGGCTTTTTAAGCAGAGGTTGGATGGCCATCTGTCAAGGAGGCTTTAGCTGAGATTCCTGCCTTGCTCTTTTTAAAAAAACTAATAATTTGGTTTTACATATTTAACATTATAATCACGCCACAACATATCCACAGTTTAAAGATTCCTCCAAGTCATCTGGACCTTCCCAACCATTCCCCTCCATGGGTCTGTTTGTAAACCTTTTCTACTGCATCTTTTTTCAATAATACAATTTTTTTTATCACTCCATTATGTCCATATTTCTCGTTACATTACAAGTGTCACTGCAGTCCTGCTAATGTTTTTCAGCTGCTTTCTCTTCAGATCGGTATAAATCTTCCGCCTTTTACTAAAGTCCCTACATTTCAGGGGGTTTCATAGATACCCTCAGGGGGTCCCTTCCAACTCTACGGTTCTAGGATTCTAAAAGAAATGGTCAAAATCTGAAAATTTAATAAAAGGCCATGTTTAAAGAGAGAAATAACCCCTGGAGGGGAGGGGGTCTCCCCACCCCCGGCCTTCTCTCACCCAGGGTCGAATTTAGATTTGATGAGGTCCTAAGCTACTGAAGGTAATGGGGCCCTTTATATGTCCAGCTGTCAACAACAAATGTCGCTGTTTTTTGTGTTGAATATATGCTATATGGTACAGTGGACGCTCGGGTTGCGAACGTGATCCGTGCGGGATGCACATTCGCAGCCCGCAGCGTTTGCAATGTCTGCACACGAGCGGGGTTGCGATTCGGCGCTTCTGCGGCATGCGCAAAGCTCAATTTAGCGCTTCTGTGCATGCGCGACCACCGAAACCCGGAAGTAACCCGTTCCAGTACTTCCGGGTTTCGGCGCGTCCGTAACCTGAAAACGCAAACTGAAGCGTCTGTAACCCAAGGTATGACTAGTTACAGATAGGTAGCCGTGTTGGTCTGCCATAGTCAAAACAAAACAAAATTCCTTCCAGTAGCACCTTAAAGACCAACTAAGTTAGTTCTTGGTATGAGCTTTCATGTGCATGCATGTGTATCTGAAGAAGTGTGCATGCACACGAAAGCTCATACCAAGAACTAACTTAGTTGGTCTTTAAGGTGCTACTGGAAGGAATTTTTTTTGTTTGACCAAGGTATGACTGTAATTTATGGACCTAATAGGTATCTAAAGCCATTTGCACAGAACAAGATATGTATGTTTTCAAAGTAATTGTTGAACTGAAAATACAATTAAGAAGAAGTATATTCATAGTGAAATATAATTAAGAATAAGTATATGGGGGGGCAAGAGAGTGGGGCCCTAAGCTATAGCTTGCTTAGTTTATGCATAAATCCGGCACTGCTCTCACCCCTATCGCTCTTCCTGCGTCCTCGTCCTCCTCCTCCGGCGGCGACAGCAACTGAGAGAGAGCCAGCAAGGGAGGAGGCCGAGCAGAGTCCCAGCTCCGGGGGCTCCATCGCCAGGGCGGCTACAAAGAAACTCGCAGCAGCGCCCAGAAAGCCAGCTGCCCGCCTGCCACCTCCAGCGTCTCCCGCGTCGCCACGGCAACGGCCCCACGGCGCCTGCGCGGAGGAAGGAGGATGCGGCGCGCCCATTGGCGGAGGAGCGCCAAGACGACATCGGGAGGCGCCGGAACCTCCGCGCGGGGACGGGCGCTGGTATCGCGTCATAGGGACGCGCGGCCGAGGAGCGTAACTGCCGCGCAGCGGAGGAGCAGAGAGGTGAGGCGAGGAGGGAAGGGGAGATTGACAGTTGCTCTTCCCCGGCCCCGCAAGACCCTCTCGCGGACGCAGGAGGACTGCCGTTAGCGCTGAGAGCAGCAGCACGAGGAGGAGGAGGAGGAGCAGGGTTAGAAGCGCAGGTATGGAGTCGAAGTCAATCCGCTCCTTGCGGCGAGATCTGGCATGAGGCGCCCACGGGGGACGGTTCCCTTTGGTCGCTGGAGCCCTTAACTTGACGGGCTGGAAGTAGTGGGTGGGGAGCGTTAGAAATGATGATGATGATGATACTAATAATAATAATAATTTGTTACAGTGTTATTTACAGTGTTTTAATGTTGTATTTAATCTTGTTTTTAAATAGTATTCATTCAACTTGTTTTATTATTGCTTGTTAGCCGCCCTGAGCCCAGACTTAGCTGGGGAGGGGCGGGGTATAAAGAAAAAATTATTATTATTATTATTATTATTATTATTACTACTACTACCTCGGGGTTACAGACGCTTCAGGTTACAGGCTCTGCTAACCAGAAATAGTACCTCAGGGTTAAGAACTTTGCTTCAGGATGAGAACAGAAATTGTGCTGCGGCAGCGGGGGCCCCATTAGCTAAAGTGATACCTCAGGTTAAGAACGGACCTCCGGAACGAATTAAGTACTTAACCTGAGGTACCACTGTATTTTTACCCCACCCCTCTGGCTGGGTTTCCACAGCCACTCTGGGCGGCTTTCAACAGAACATTGAAAACAGAATAAAACTTCAGACATTAAAAACAGGGAATGATGATGATGATTTATTATGTCTTCCATAAGATTGTCTTCCATAAACCTGGTTTTAACAGTGAGTCCACAAGTGACTCTGGAGGCTAATTCCTGGATCCACACGTCCTTCCACAGTGGGGACATAGGTTTCTGGGTGGGGGTTGATCATAGTGAAGGTTTGCCAAGCGTGCCTTCCTCTTAGCACGTTTCTCCCTTGCGTCCTGAGTTTGAGTGTCTTCAAAGCCCATGACACCTTTGGTAAAGGCTGTTTTCCAATTGGAGCGCTTGCAGGCCAGTGTTTCCCAATTGTTGGTGTTTATACTACATTTTTTTAGATTTGCCTTCAGAGAGTCTTTAAACCTCTTTTGTTGACCACCAGCATTAATATTACCATTTTTAAGTTTGGAATAGAGTAGTCACTTTGGAAGACGTTAATCAGGCATCCGAACAACATGACCAGTCCAACAAAGTTGATGTTGAAGAGTCATTGCTTCGACACTGGTGGTCTTTGGTGGGCAGTGTTAGAAACTTATATGATGATGTTGGTGATTTATTATGTATATGCTGCCCATCTGACTGGATCCCAACGCAGCATTAAAAACACAATAAAACAGCCATTGAAAACTTTCCTAAGGGCTGCCTTCAGGGCTGCCTTCTAGAAGTCAAATATTTGTTTATCTGTCTGAAATCTGACGGGAGGCATTCCACAGAGTGCGTTCTGCTACCGAGAAGGCCGTTCAGATGCATAAGCTAATCACCAAATAGCACCTTAAACCGTTTATGGTTGCCACAGCAATATGCCTAGGCACCTTTTCCACTCCCACTAGAGTGTATTAGTAGTAGTAGTAGTAGTATCCATTTCTAGACCACTTTATATTTTAAAGGGGAAATCTTTAAGTGGTTGGCATCACATTGAAACCTCAAATAAAACAATCCAGAATAAAACAAATACAAGCTTTGAGGAAAATATTTCAGTTCCTTCTCTAAGGGGCATTTAGATCCCCCCATATTTACTGTGGGGTTATCTTTGTAACCAAGGTGGCATTTGCAGAGCTTCTGAAACAGTTTGCCTTTGCTTCAACACCCCACCCCACCCCTCTTGTGCTCTTGGGTGGCTTCGCCCACCGAGATCTCCAGCCTCCACAGATGAGCATCAGCCCTGGAGCCAACGAGGCAGCTCTTTTTCTCTGTTTCCTCACAGGAGCACAGCCATCATCATGAGCCAGTTCAACTTTGGCACACCTGGCACTCCCGGGGGAGGCTTCAGCTTCGGGACTCCGAAAACCGCAGCCAGCGCAGCCCCCGCGGGGTTCTCCTTCTCTTCAGCCACCACAGGAGGAGGCTTCAGTTTTGGGACAGCTGCTCAAAACCCAGCAAGCACCCAGCCTGCAGGCCTGTTCTCTTTCGCTCCCCCAGCGACATCGGCACAGACCTCTGGATTCAGCTTCGGCACACCTGCCACGTCGGCACCGGCTGCTGCTGGAAATGTGTTCACACTGGGGTAAGGTTGGCACAATCCCATGTGGGTGGGAGGGTTGTTGAGCCCTAAGGATCAGACGTTCGGCTTCTGAAAACCTGGAACACTTACTTCCGGGTTTTTGGCGTTTGAGAACCACGGTACCACTGTATTGTACAACCTATAGCTTTAGGTGGGGGAGCTGGTGCCCAGGGTGGTTCCCAGCAATGGCACAAAATGGCACCTTAAACCTAGGTTACAGCCGCCACAATAGTGTGTCTAGGCACCATTCCTTCCCATTGAAGGCTTATTATGATTATTATTATTATTATTGATAATAATAATTTAATTTCTATACTGCTTTTTATTTTAAAGCAAAAAATCTCAAAGCGGTTGACAGTACATTAACATAAAATAAATCAGTACAGAATAAAACAAATGCAAGCTTCCAGGAAAATATGTCAGATCCTTCTCTAAGGGACATTTGGCTTTCCCCATATTTATTGACCTCCTTAATTTATAGAGCTGCCCCGTAGCAGAAGAACTCCAGGAAACCAGAGTGATGTAGTGGTTAGTTGGACCAGAACCTGGGAGATCAGGGTTCAAATCCCCACTCATACAGGAAGCCTTGGAGTCATTCACAGCCGCTTCACCTACCTCACAGGGTCATTGTAGGGATTAACTGAGGAGGGGGCTGAACCATGTACATTCATACCTTGGTTGTCGAACGCCTTGTGACTCGAATGTTTTGACTCCTGAACTCTGCAAACCCAGGAGTGAGTGTTCTGGTTTGCGAACGTTCTTTGGAACCCGAACGTCCAACGCTGCTTCCGCGTCTTGGTTTTTGAACGTTTTCGGAAGTCGAACAGACTTCTGGAACGGATTCCATTTGAGAACCAAGATATGACTCTACTCCTTGCAGGAAAAGGTGGGAAATAAATGCAATGAATAACTTATTCTGCTTACTTCCTTCCAAAAACTGGAGGGGCCAGCCAGATGGAAATGGTCTCAGTTGGACCCGCGCCAGTCGCAAAATGCACCTGGTGCCTGGCTAATTCCTAACGCCGGTTGCCAGTCTCCTTGGGCTCAGCTGGAATGTTAAAAATCCTGTGGTAAATGGGCAAACAACCTACCCTGAGACTTTAGTCAGAAATGAAATGATGCAGAAGTAGCAGCAAAAAAAATGGCACAAGAGAACTTGGGATGCTTTGAATATCTGCCCAAAATCCACCCTGGACCCTTTTGCTCTTTTTTATTTATTTAGGGGAAATGCTCCCAAGCTGAACTTGAGCAGCACCAACACAACACAATCGGCTGGCATTACGGGGGCGCTTGGGCTCGGCAGTGGCGGACTGGGCACATCCACACCCAGTAGCGCCCCTGCCAGCCAGCCAGTGGCTCCTTCCGGCTTTGTGTTCGGCTCCAACACCGCTACCCAGCCTGCCACAACCGGAGGCTTCAGCTTTGGAGGCATGGGAGCAACGCAGGCTGCGGCCCCCAGCTTCAGCCTTGGCTCCATAGCGAATACGACGCAGCAAGCAGCACCCGCCTCCACTGGCTTGGCGTTTGGAGTTCCTGCATCCGCGGCCGGCCCTACTACAACCACAGTATCCACAGCGCAGCCAGCTGTGGCGTTTGGCCTTGGGGCGCAGACAACAGGTGAGACGCCAAGCCCTGTGCAAAAGCACTTCTGGCAAGGCAGAGTTTCTTTGTAGACAAGTTGCCTTGCAAGCTTGCCCTCCATATGCAAAGTTAAGTAATTGTATATAGGTGAAGGGCTGAGTCATAATGCAACTGTGTCTCACGTTGCCCCAAAGATGCCATTCTACTCAAGCACAGACTGGAGAAGGAATTTAAGGTGATAACTGCTTCTCTTAACCATTCTCTGTTCCAGCTCCAGTTTCAGGCTTTGGGCTGCTGACGTCAACACCTGCCACCTCTGCCTCCACAGGAGCACTCGGTCAGGGGCCAGCCTTGTCCTTTGGAGCGAAACTTGGAGGTAGGCGATTGTGCCTCGGGAAGGGGGAAATTGGGCCGTTCATGCTAAGAAGTGAGATAGGGCAGGTCAGTTGTGCTGGTGTCCCTCCTTGCTTTGCTGGCCTTCTAAATTAACTCTGAAATACATTGGCACAGTTGGGCCTTTCTCCTCACTCTCTGTTTCAAGCTCCAGACCTTCCCCTCCGAATCCTGCCTGTTCCCTTTTGTGCTTATATACACACACACACACACTCCAGCCAAGCTGATCTGCCACGGCCGCCTTTTGGTTCTTTTCCTCCCCATGTTCTGCTTCTGCTCTTGGACACGCTCTGCCCGCCAAGCTGCTGCTGCTGCTGCTGTCATCTCACCACTGCCGCTTCCCTGTCCTTCCCTGAACAACCGCCGCCCATTCTTTTTCTTCAGTTGCTGTTTAACTTCTCCTCCCGCATCGCCACAGCTCCTTCACCAAGTTTTGCCATAGCCTTGTGCCTTTGCATAGTGTGTCTGGGAGTAGATGGTTCTCCTCTTTGTACAGCACCTAGCACACAGGGACTGACATAGCAGCAGCAGTGCTGGCGGCAGCTGCTTCCCCTACTTGGCCATAATAGGGGGGCAGGGGCTGTGGGAACTTCCAGTTGCCTTTGGCTTCTTGGAAAACTGCTCCACTACCAGGCCGGAGATGTCAAGAGACTCTGGGTCTTCCTTGGCCTTGTGGATGGGTTCATAGAATCATAGAACTGCAGAGCTAGAGGCAAACCTGAGGGTTATCAAGTCCAGCCCCTTGCAATGCAGGGATCTTTTGCCCAACGTGGGGCTTGAACCCACAACCCTGAGATTAAGAGTCTCATGCTCTTACCAGCTAAGTATCTTCCGTGAGGAAAGTGTGTTCTCCTCCTCCTGGTTGTAACTGAACCCCAGAATGCGTCTCTTCCCCGAAGCAGGTACAGCGGCAACTTCCACGGCGCCTTCTACCACAGCTGTGAACTCCATCCTCGGGATGTCCGGACCGACGTTGTTTGCGTCCATTGCAAACTCTTCCGCGCCAGCCTCGTCTGCTACTGGCCTCTCACGTAAGCGACTGGGGCCCTGCCTCCCTTCTTGATGGGGAAGTGGAAAGAGGGGGGCTTGGGCAGCCTTGGCTCTGCCCACTGCCTGCTGACGGTGCAAAACGGACCACTTCTCTCTCCCCCTCAGTCCAGCATATTTTGTACTTCACCAGGTTTTGCCTAAAGGTCTGTTGTGCCAAACCACTTAACTGCTGGGGCTGTTCTTTTGAGCAGGAGGCAGCCTTGCCAAGCCGCACTCAGGAGCTCTTGTTTTCTTCCTTCTGTAGTTGGTGTCACCTCGACGGGGACGGCACCTGCTGGGACTTTAGGGTTTGGCGCAAAAGCCCCTGGGACGACAGCAACAGCACCCACGGCCACGGCGACTGCAGTGGGAGGAGCCCCCGCAGCAACCAGTAAGGCTCAAAAGAGAAAATAGGAGGGAGGGAGGGAGGGAGGGAAGGGAAGGGAAGGGAAGGATACACACAACAGCCGCTGACTTTTGCTCTTCGGTTAGAATATCATAGAATCATAGAGTTGGGAGGGACGATGCGGGTCATCTGGTCCAACCCCTGCAATTCAGGAATCTTTTGCCCAATGTGAGGCTCAAACCCATGGCCCTGAGATCAAGAGTCTCCTGCTCTACCGACTGAGCTATCAGGTAGAATGTTGCAGGCACCGTGGACTTCTTGCTTGCTGTCGTTATATTATTTGAAGGGCTCTGCAGCTTTCACAATTCGTGAAGCACATAAAGCTGTTTACATTGCTATGATCAGCTTTACGGAACAGAGCAATTCAGCATCGAAACAGGGATTTAAAAAAACAAACGTTTTTTAACCCACGCTAGAAACTTGGTGAAATGAAAAGGTCTTTCCTGAAGCTTGGAAGAAGGAGCCGATGGAATCTTTCTAGGCAAGGAGTTGCATGGTTCCAAGGTGCCACATTAGGAAGGACCCTGTCCCACATCCCAGTTAGCCATGCTCCTGGAAGGGGGTGTTGTGCATAGCAGAGCCACCAAGGTTGAAAGCTGCGGGTAGGCAAGATTACGTTGGAGACAGAGCTGGCAACTTCAGATATACTGGTTCTATACCATTTAGGGCTTTGCAGGTCAAAGCCAGCAGTACCAGGAAACGAGGGAGGATGCTGTAGTTGAAGTGGAACTGTGTGTGTGTGATGGATTGTCCACAAAGCAGACTCCAGAAGTCTGTCTGGCTCACATCTTTTTATACTAGGTCCTGCCTGGGCCACTGATAGTTCTGGAGTTCATGCAGCATTGAGTAACACAGCACTGTCTGCACGTGAACTGGAGGGTCAATCGCTCTTTTTCCTCCTGCTGCCAAAGCTGGAGACTCTGAAGAAAAGGGATTCCTGAGCAGGGCAAGTGGGTGGTATTTGCACCCCAGCCCCAAATTCTCCATGTCAGAAATGCTCCTTCATCTGCTGATACCTCCTCTCTTGGCATCGCGAAAATGATTGCTAACGAGGCGGAGTGGATATTTTTCTTTTAATTCGTTGTTATTAACTATTTTGTGTGTGTGTTGCGAAACAAACAGGTGAACAGGGAAAGGTACATCTATCATCCGTTCACAGAGTCTTTTTAACAGTTAGTAAGAGACACTTGTCTTTTTTTTTTAAATGATATTTATTAAAATTTCAGAAACAAAAAATTACATAGTTAAAGAGAAAAGAAACAAGAAAAAAATAAAAAGAGAAAAAACATACAAAGTACAGAAAAAAGTAAAAAAACACTTAAAAACAAATTAATCCTTCCGTATCTTACATTTCATTTCCTTGCTTCCCTGACCACCTCTCACCTCCCTTTTTTGTATTCCAGTTCAATTGGTTAATTCAGCAATTCCTTTCCCTCTTTGTTTTTGTCTTAGTCCTTTAACTTAATATATTATAGCTTTAGATTCTCACCTATTAACAATCCATTTTTACATACACCTTTATGACATTGCTGCTAAAACCACTTAACTTCATTCTGACATCATTCTAACATTTATTAATTTTGCAATATTTCTGTAAATAGTCTTTAAATTTCTTCCAATCTTCTTCCACCGACTCTTCTCCCTGGTCTCGGATTCTGCCAGTCATTTCCGCCAGTTCCATGTAGTCCATCGTGAGAGACACTTGTCATAGACATCATTCGGTTGGGGGAAAAGAGGCAGATTGAGAGGGAGAGCAGGGATCTATTGCCTACTGTTAGTGTAGGGGGTTGTGTCTATATCACATGGGAAGGTCCTTTGTTTATATATTTGTTTGTCTTTATTGATAATGCAAGAGGGGTCCCGAGCTCCGTTGGTTGCATTCAGTGACAAGTGGGCACTATTGAGATCAGCTATAGGAGAGGTGGTGGTTTTTCACTTGGACACGGAGCATGCTGGGCAGGCAGCCTTGGCAGCCTCCTCTTCCCATCCCTGCTCTTCCATCGCAGCTGAGGTCAGGCCCAGGAGTCTCCCATCCTGGGACCAGCTCCAAGCAAGGACTCTGTTGCCCTGCATCCCTGTTGACTTCCTGCTGTGGTTTGACCCAACATTTGTTTTCTCCGCAGGTATCGCCTCCACCCCAAGTACAGGATTCATGCTGAACCTGAAGCCTCTGTCCACTACTGCTACGGTGGCCTCCACGTCCACTGCGGCCACCACAACAGTCACGTAAGTTCCCTGCATTTTCCACCCCATCGTTCATCCTGCACACTGAGGTCCAGCTCCAAGCGTCTTCTAGCGGTCCCCTCCCTGCGAGAAGTGAGGTTACAGGGAACCAAGCGGAGGGCCTTTTCGGTAGTGGCACACTCCCTGTGGAACACCCTTCAGATGTCGAGGAGATAAAGAACTACACAACTTTTTTTAAAAAACTCACAACATTTTTATTGATTTTACAAATACAAAGCACAAATAAACACAAACTGGCAAAGATATATCTGTATAGAGTCTCTGAATCTCGGGACTTCCCTCCATGGAGTCTCATTTTAAGAATCTGCACCTGCATATTCATAAGTACTCCAATTATTATATCAGACTATATTATCCATAGTATTTTTACACTACAAATGAATCAAAATCTTGCTCTTGTTTCCATCTGCTTACAGTGGTCTCCTAAATAGCTTATAAAAAATTCCCTTTCTATTGTAAAGTTTTTGTGCTTCTGGTTTCTGAGTTTTCTAGTCAGCTTTGCCATCTCAGCATAGTCCATCAGCTTGATTTGTCATTCTTCTCTGGTAGGGACTTTTATCTTTAACTCAGAGTTGGGAAGAACTACACAACTTTTAGAAGGCATTGAAAGGAAGTTTATAATGTTTGTAATTTTAATAAGTTTATAATCAGGAAGTTTATAATGTTTGATGTTTTATTAAGCTTTTATACATACTTGAAGCTGCCCGGAGTGGCTGGGGAAACCCAGACAGATGTGTAGAGTATAAATGTTGTTGCTGATGATGATGATGATGATGATGATTGCCATATGCTAGGCAAGCCATGAGTTTGGGGGGTGTAGAATGTGTCGGATTCTTAAGCCTCAGTCAGAGGTAACTGGCCACTCTCCAGGCACCAGGCTTAAGATCCTTGTTGACCTCCCCGTCTGCGTCTCCCGGCAGGATACAGGCAAGGTCACAATCGGCGATCCCACTCAGTGTGAGAGGGACACACCATTTCTCCCTCCTCCCTGCTTCCCTCAGGGAGGGGAAAGAGACAGACAGAAATCTATTTACATGTCTTTATTTCTGTCATTCAGCAGTACAGAGAAACATGTCTGCACTCTCCAGTCTCTCACAGAAGAGAGATAGACTCCACCCCTGTACTTCCAGTACAGGTCAGATGACACTCTGAGCTAACATCCGGTGCTCAGTACAGTGAATAGACTGCCCCTTTGTTCCCACGGTACAGTCCCAAACATCAACATCCTGTTTGGCTTTCCAGCCACCTGCATCTTGCTCTTGCATTGCTGCTTTTTCCTGACAGAATGGAGTCCCCCCCCCCCCCACGGAGGCAAGGAATAGCAGTTTGCTGGATGCAGGTCTGCCTCCTTGAGCCCCGCGTGGGGGTGGAGCTGTGGGCTGCTCAGCTCTTTCGCCACCCAGCACACTCCTCCTGTCTTTGCAGGGCTCCCCCGTCGATGACCTACGCCCAGCTGGAGAGCCTGGTTAACAAGTGGAGCTTGGAGCTGGAGGACCAGGAGAAGCACTTCCTCCAGCAGGCCACCCAAGTCAACGCCTGGGACAGGAAACTGATCGAAAACGGGGAGAAGGTAGGGACCCATTCTGCCGGCAAGATTCTTTTTAGGGAGCTGTGCTGCCTGGGTCAGAGGGGGAGCTAAGGTATTGCCTCCTGTGCCCATGCAGGGGCTGGCTGTAACTAACCTTCCTCTTTCTACACAATTTTAACCTTAACAGTACAGTGGTACCTTGGTTCTTGAACAGCTTGGTTCCTGAACAAATTGGCTCCTGAATGCTGCAAACCCAGAAGTGAGTGTTCCGGTTTGTGAACATTTTTCGGAAGCCAAACATCCAGCACTGCTTTCAGTCGAGGGCAGGAAGCTCCTGCAGCCAATCGGAAGCCGTGCCTTGGTTTTCGAACGCTTTTGGGAGTCGAACAGATTAAGTTTGAAAACCAAGGTACCACTGTATAGCAAAAATAAATAAATTCAGCTTCTGTATATTTATGTCTTTTATAAAAAAATGATAGACTGCTCAATTTGGGGGGGGACCACTCAAAGTGGTTTACAAATAAAGAATAGAACAGTAACATTATTAATATTATTTATTTAGTTTAGTTTAAATACCACCCTTCGTCGAAAGATCGCAGGGCAACATTAAAAACACATTACAGAACATCAGTGATTGAAACATAATAAAGAGCATATGTCTGAGTCAAAACAAGTATTTAAAACATTGAAATAGCCATTAAAATAAGCAGTCAACTGAAAACAGATCAAAACACTTGTCAACATTCTGCAGGCTTCGGTGGGCTTGCCTAAGTGAAACTGTTTTTTAGCAAGGGCCGAAAACAGTACAGCGAAGGGGGTGTCCCTGGTGTCAGGGTACAGGGTGTTCCAAAAGGTGGGTGCTGCCACATGGGAAAACGGAATGTTCTGTGGCACTTATAATGGTGCCAGTTCTGCCGATGGAAGCGGTTGAGTGGGCACATGGAGGGCAAGTTGATCTCATAGGTAAACTGGTCCTAAGTTGTTCAGCGTTCCTATCAGTGAACAGTGCTAGTTAATAGTGTTAATGTTAGTTTATAAACTCTGAACTTGGCCTGGTAGCAGATCAGCAACCAGAGCAGACCTCTGACCCCAGGTGTTACTTTCTGCCAAGGCCTCGTTCCTGTCAGCAATCGTGCTGCAGCATCCTTCACTAACTGCAGCTTCCGTATCCATCGTGAAGGAAGCCCCACAGAGAGCGCGTTGCACTAACTCCTTTTTGCTCATTGTCTTCTTCAGCCAGTTCTTTTCTAGTGTTCCCGAAGCCCTGGTTTCCCACTGTACCTGGAAAAAGATTGGGGCCAGTATTTTATTGTCACTTATAGATTCCCGTCCCACTTTGTAAACCCTGTCTCTGTCTTACAGATCACGTCTCTGCACCGAGAAGTGGAAAAAGTGAAACTGGATCAGAAAAGGTAGAGGGAAAAGGGGCTGCGTAGCATGTTTTTGGTGGGAGGCAAGGGGCAAAGGTATTGGAAGCAGCCCCCCTCAGTCCCGCAGTCATAATTTATATGCCACCCATCTGACTGGGTTTCCCCAGCCACTCTGGGCGGCTTCCAAGAAATAATTACAAAACCACAGTAAACCAACACATGTTAAGAACTTCCCTGTACAGGGCTGCCTTCAGATGTCTTCTAAAAGTCAGGTAGTTGTTTATTTCCTTGGCATCTGATGAGAGGGCATTCCACAGGGTGGGCACCACTACTGAGAAGGCCCGCTGCCTGGTTCCCTGTAACTTTGCTTCTCGCGATGAAGGAGCTGCAGAAGGCGGTTCATGTGCCAAGAAAGGAGATTCCAGCTCAACATCAGGAAGAACTTTCTGACAGTGAGAGCTGTTCAGCAGTGGAACGGACTCCCTCGGGAGGTGGATGGCCATCTGTCACGGATGCTTGAGTTGAGATTCCTGCATTGCGGGGGGTTGGTCTGGATGACCCTCAGGGTCCCTTCCAACTCTACAGTTCTATAATACTGATTTAGATGGTGAACCTGTCTTGGGCAGGGAGCCATTCCTCAGCAGCGCTTCCTCTCCTCACCTCCTTTCAGCCACCAGCTAATAGCGATGTCGGCATCTTCCTAGTTTTCTGTAGTACAGGGGTGGGGCGCAGGATCTAGCCTATGTGCCAGATCCTGACCTCCCTCCTCCCACCTATCAAATCACATTACAATTATTCCAGGTGACCCAAAATAACCATTTTTCCCCTGTGTGTGCCCTGAAGAGGAGGCCCTTTTGGCGTCCGCAGGTTGACTTCAGGCAAAAGTGCAAATATCTTTTTGGCTAACCTGCCTGAATTCCACCTGAGTTCTTCTCCCAGACAATGCTTCCACATGTTGCCTGCTTATCTATAACCTCCCTCCTTCCCTTTTTTCCTTCTATAGGTTGGACCAAGAACTAGATTTCATTTTGTCCCAGCAAAAGGAGCTGGAGGACTTGCTGGTGCCCCTGGAAGAGTCCGTAAAGGAACAGAGTGGGACCGTCTACTTACAACATGCAGATGAGGAACGGGAGAAGACGTAAGAGGATGCCAGGGATGGCAGTGGTGGAGCCCCGGTTGCATGGGCTGCGGGTGGTCCCCAGATAGACAAGTTTAAAAATAAAAAGCAAAGGTTTGGAGGTCAGCTGTGGAGATCAGCCTATGTTGAGCCATTCTAAAGGGGGAAATTTGCTTTCTGGATAATTCTGAGCATGTTGGGCTGGGAGGTGGGTGCTGTCCTGCAATTCCTGCAGAGTCCACTTTTAAGCCAGACCAAGCTGTCTCCTAAAGGTGTTTCTGCTCAGTCCCTAATATTCACAGGTCTAATTGAAAGTATCGAGAAGATTAGAGTCCACTGGGAAACCCAGCAGCTCCCCTGGATCGTCACAGCTTCACACAGTTCCATGGGAGAGGCTTAAGGGTCCCTCATGGCAGCCGAAGAGCCTTTAGGATTCCCCCCCCCCCAAAGTGTTTGGCCTTGGCTTGGCAGGCTCCCTGGGGCGAGAGAAGGAAGGAGATTGATACCTGTGACGACGTGTTTTCCTGTGCTGCAGGTACAAACTGGCAGAGAACATTGATGCCCAGCTGAAGCGCATGGCCCAAGATCTGAAAGATATTATTGAGCACCTGAACACTTCTGGAGGCCCTGCTGACACCAGTGACCCGGTGAGTACAAACTGGACGAGATGCATGGGAGGAGGAGAGGAGAGGGCCAAGAGCCTCTCTAAGGATGCTCCTTCCTGGTTTATGAGGACTGCTCTGTCCTGCTCTTCCCCCTCCAGGCAGCTGTCTGCCGCTGTGGCCTTGTTCAGCAATGCTTTTCAGCACAGTCAGGCTTCAGGAGCAGGAAACCCTGTTCTTCAAGGCTAGCCTGCTTTGCGTTCACCTGACTCATAGAATTGTAGACTTGGAAGGGACCCTGATCTAATCCAACCCCCTGCAAGGCAAGAACCTCAACTGAAGAATCCAAGGAAGGAAAGTTCACCACCTTCCATCCCACAGTCAAAACAGCTATCACAATCAGAAAATTATTCCTGATGTTGAATTGGAATCTCCTATAAGGGACGCGGGTGGCGCTGTGGGTAAAACCTCAGCGCCTAGGACTTGCCGATTGCATGGTCAGCAGTTCGAATCCCCGCAGCGGGGTGCGCTCCTGTTGTTCGGTCCCAGCGCCTGCCAACCTAGCAGTTCGAAAGCACTCCCGGGTAAATAGATAAATAGGGACCGCTTACTAGTGGGAAGGTAAACGGCGTTTCCGTGTGCTGCGCTGGCTCGCCAGAGCAGCGATGTCACGCTGGCCACGTGACCCGGAAGTGTCTTCGGACAGCGCTGGCCCCCGGCCTCTTGAGTGAGATGGGCGCACAACCCTAGAGTCTGTCAAGACTGGCCCGTACGGGCAGGGGTACCTTTACCTTTACCTTTTATTGCAACTTGAAGCCATTGTTTCAGGTCTTACCCACTGGAAAAAACAAGCTTGCTCCATCTTCCGTTTGACAGCCCTTGAGATATTTGAAGATGGCTCTCCTATCTCCTCTCAGTCTCCTCTTTTCCAGGCTAGACATACCCAGCTCCTTCAACCGTTGCTCATAAGGCTTAGTTTCCAGACCCTTGATCATCTTGGTTGCCCTCCTCTGCACACCTTGCAGCTTGTCAATGTCCTTCATAAATTGTGGTGCCCAGAACTGGACACAGTATTCCAGGTGTGGTCTGACCAAGGCAGAATAGAGCGGGACTATGGCTTCCCTTGATCTGGACACCAGACTTCTGTTGATGCAGCCTAGAATACAATTACCATAGCTAGTTTTGTTTTGTTTTGGCTGCTGCTGCTGCTGCTGCTGCATCACATTTTCAGACCACACCTAAGAGCTGTTCAACAGTGCAACAATTCTTTCGGGAGGTTGTGGACTCTCCTTCCTTGGAGATTTTTAAACAAGTTGGATGCCCATCTGTCACGGATGCTCTAGGTCAGATTCCTGCATTCGAGGGGGTTAGAATAGATGACCCTCGGGGTCCCTCCCAATTCTATGATTTCAAGGAAGGAGTCATATCTGCCTTGAGCAGATCACACCACCAGCCTTGATGTGCCTCAGCAAGACGGGGCGGGGGGGAGGCAGGTTAGTACCCTTGGACACCAAGACATCATCTGTGTGAATTTGCCTTCCTCTTCCACCCACATTTGTGCCTCGCAGGACCAGCACAGCCATCTCTGCAGGCCCAGGCAGGGCTCTGTGCTCTCCCACTGACAGCTGGGCCACTCAGAGCAGGAAAGGGACTGCTGCCAACCTGCCATCTTGGGGCCAGAGTACATTGCTACCTGCCTGGGCTGGGCAAAGGCCTCCTTTTTAAATCATGGCAGTTACGCTCAGTTTCCCTTCCGATGGTGCCGTTCCTGGCTCAACTTTTCCTGCAGAACATCAACATCTTTCAGTCTTGAAAAATGACTGCCGGCGTGAGTGCTGATCTCGTGGTCTTTGCAAGGGCTTTGAGAGATCCAGACCGGGGTCGGCAACTGCTCATGACATTCTCTAATCTCTTCCAGCTTCAGCAGATCTGCAAGATTCTGAATGCGCACATGGACTCCCTCCAGTGGATTGATCAGAATTCAGGTATTTGGCACTTTTCCTTTCTAGGGAGTCGTAGGGTCCTTCCTTCAGTTTTAAGATGAGCTGCTTTGAGGCAGGTTGACTAGGGAGAGAATAATAATAATACAGTGGTGCCTCGCAAGACGAAAAGAATCCGTTCCGCGATTCTTTTCGTCTAGCGGTTTTTTCGTCTTGCGAAGCAACCCCATTAGCGGCTAAGCGGATTAGCGCTATTAGCGATTTTGCGCTATTAGCGGCTTAGCGGCTAAGCTGTTAAAAGGCTATTAACAGCTTAGCGGCTTTGAAAAGGGGGGGGAAGCGGGGGGGAAATGGCGAGACTCGCAAGACGTTTTCGTCTTGCGAAGCAAGCCCATAGGGAACTTCGTCTTGCGAAGCGCCTCCGCAACGGAAAACCCTTTCGTCTTGTGGGTTTTTCATCTTGCGAGGCATTCGTCTTGCGGGGCACCACTGTAGTAGTAGTAGTAGTAGTAGTAGTAGTAGTAGTAATAATAATAATAATAATAATAATAATAATAATAATAATAAATAATTTATATCCCACCCTCCCCAGCCGAAGCCGGGCTCAGAGCGGCTAACAACAGTAAAAGTAACACAGTTTACATAAAATCACAATCTATTAATTGAAATACATTCTAAAATCAATTCATAATCCAATTAATGGCAACCATTGGGCTAAAGTGAAGTATCAAGGTGGGAAAGGAGCAATCCTTGTCCTAGAATCATAGAGTTCAAAGAGACCCTGAGGATCATCTAGTGGAGCCCCCTGCAAGACAGGGAAATGGGCAGCTGTCCCATACGGGGATTAACCCCTGCCACCTTGATGTTATTAGCACTGTGCTCGAACCTGCTGAGCTATCTGCTTGGCACATGTTGAGATCCTCTGCAGCAAACATGGCAACCGCTGGGGGGGAAATCACAGCCTCATATTTGGGGGGGGAAGGATCCATTTTGTGGGTCTCCAGACTGCGAAATCCATCTCCTGCTCAGGTTTTACTAGCTGCCTGTTGGATGTTGCGTTGTTTATTTGTTTAATTTGCATACCGCCCTTCATCCAAAGATCACAGGGCGGGCCACCGCGTAAAAACACAAGAAAGTAAACACAAAATGCACAATGCAAACCAAAGCAAGTCAAACCAATAGCCCCCTTCCCACAAGGCAGGGAAGGAGGGTCAGCACAACAAGGACAGCCCCAGGAGTATAGGTCCATCTAGTTTAGTGTCGTCGACACTGACTGGCAGCAGCGGTTCTCCAGGATTTCAGGAAGCGGTCCCTCCCAGCCCCAAGTGGAGACGCTGCAGTTGGGGGCTGAACCCCATGACAGGTGCTCTGCACGCGTGAGCCTAGCCCACTGCAGGCCCAGCCCAGTGAATTTGCTGGTGGGAGAAAATGCAATTTGCCGTGGAGCTGCAGCCCGGTGCAGCTTGAGATTCCTAGTCCAGACTGAGCTGGTGGGGGTGGCTGCAGCCTTTTAGAAACACCCCCCCCCTCTCAGCCCCATTGTGCTTCCAGCGAGGGAGGGGGAGGGAGCAACTGCTGTGCCACAGGCGGGCAGAGTCTACTCTGCCAGGGGTGCACACTGGGATGCTCAGCCCTCTGACATTCTCCTTGTTGTCATTCCACCTTCAGCCCTGCTGCAAAGGAAAGTAGAGGAAGTGACCAAGGTTTGCGAAAGCCGCCGCAAGGAACAGGAGCGCAGCTTCCGGATTACGTTTGACTGACTGCCTCACCGCCGGGGGGGGCAGGGGGAATACACGCATGATGCCCAAATGTTTTGTTACTAGTTGAGTTTTGTGTTTGACAATAAAGGCCTTTTCTGTGCAGAACTGTGTGGCCAGAGGAGTTATTGGGTGTGGGGTTTCCTCTTCTGCTCCCAGGTGTGGATTGAGCATTGATTGTGCTCATCTCATGGTGGTGGGTTCGAGCCCCACATTGGGCAAAAGGTTCCTGCATTGCAGGGGGTTGGGCTAGATGACCCTCGGATCCCTTCCAGCTCTACAATTCTAGGATTCTACTCTGCAGTTTCAAGGGGCGGAGCGGATGCTGTTTTAGGCCCTGGAGACTTAGAGCACGGCTGGCTAACCCAGATCTGAAAAGCCAAGGTCCACACTCACCAAATGGTAGAGTTGGGATCCCGATTGTCATCTAGTCCAACCCTTCTCAATGCAGGGATCTTCTGAGCAATGCGGGGCTGGTACCCACAGCCCTGAGATTAAGTCTCGTTCTCTGCCGACTGAGCTATCCCAGCTGGACTCAAACATCAGGCCAATGGGCGTGGATGGTGATGATGGTGATTATTGTTATTACAGTTTATTAAATTTATATACTGACCTTCAAGGGAGCTCAGGGCCGTTTGCAACATAGAACACTGATTCCTGTATTGCAAGGGGTTAGGCTGGATGTGACCTGCATTATCCCTTCCCACTCTGCAAATCTGTGAACAGATGATAATAAAAACGACACACACACAATCATTGCTTTAATGGGCTGTAGTTCATGGGTAGGCAAACTAAGGCCCAGGGGCTGGATCTGGCCCAGCGTGTTTTTACATGAGTAGAATGTGTGCTTTTATTTAAAATGCATCTCTGGGGTATTTGTGGGGCATAGGAATTCGTTCAGTTGTGTGTTTTTTTCAAAATATAGTCCGGCCCCCCACAAGGTCTGAGGGACAGTGGACCAGCCCCCTGCTGAAAAAGTTTGCTGACCCCTGCTGTAGACTGAGCAATTGTTCAAAGGCCTGGGATAAGAGGGATGTTTTTGCCTAGTGCTGAAAAATATGCAGTGGAGGCAAAGCCCCATTGGGGAGAGTGTTCTGCAAATTGGGAGCCACTGCAGGAAAGGCCCCTTCTTGTGATTCAGGGATCGCAGGGTCTAGGTCAGTTCCTATGGGAAGAGGCAGTCCCATAACCGTTGGAGCTTCAGGGGCCCCACAACGCAGATCCGCCCCTGCCCCCATCCCAATGCGAAACTCTCTCATCCCTGCTGGCCGGAGCTGTGGCTTGTGGGAATGGGGGGTTGCCCCAATGGGATGGGATGGGGGGCTGCAGCACGCTTCATCTGCAAGGCCCAGCAGTGCAGAGTCAGGTCCTGTCGCCAGGAGCGTGTATGTTGTTGTTGTTGTTTAGTCGTTTAGTCGTGTCCGACTCTTCGTGACCCCATGGACCAGAGCACCCCAGGCACCTCTGTCCTCCACTACCTCCCGCAGTTTGGTCAAACTCATGCTGGTAACCTCGAAAACACTATCCAACCATCTCGTCCTCTGTCGTCCCCTTCTCCTTGTGCCCTCCATCTTTCCCAGCATCAGTGTCTTCTCCAGGGAGTCTTCTCCTCTCATGAGGTGGCCAAAGTACTGGAGCCTCAGCTTCAGGATCTGTCCTTCCAGTGAGCACTCAGGGCTGATTTCCTTAAGAATGGATGCGTTTGATCTTCTTGCAGCCCATGGGACTCTCAAGAGTCTCCTCCAGCACCATAATTCAAAAGCATCAATTCTTCGGCGATCAGCCTTCTTTATGGTCCAGCTCTCACTTCCATACATCACTACTGGGAAAACCATGGCTTTAACTATACGGACCTTTGTTGGCAAGGTGACGTCTCTACTTCTCAAGATGCTGTCTAGGCCTGTCATTGCCCTTCTCCCAAGAAGCGTGTATAGGGGTTGCCAACTTCAAAAATAAAAATAAAAATGGGAGGGGATGTATGACTCGCCTCACAGAGAATCATAGAACTGGAGAGAGACCTGTTGGAATGTAACGTGAAAGTGCTGTCTAAAATATTATTGGAATGAAAGACAAAGGATGAGTAAGTAAAATCCTCAGTGATACATTAGGCAATAGATATTGGTCATAATATAGACATGAAACCATGGGAACGATTGTGGAATATGGATATAAAATTGACAGCATGCTATGGTTTAAGAGAAAATTATATAAAAATGTTATATCGATGGTATCTAACACTGAGTAAATTGGCAAAAATGTATAAATCTAAATCAAATAAGTGTTGGAAATGTAAAAAGAAAGGTTATTTTTATCATATGTGGTAGTCTTGTAATAAGGCCTACGGGAAATTATTTATACTGTAATGAAAAGGATTTTTAAAATGTTTGTGAAAAAAACACCAGAAGCTTTTCTTTTGGGAATTATAGGGACAGAACTACCTAAACTGTATAGAAACTTATTTATGTATGCTACTACAGTGGCAAGAACGTTACTTGCCCCAAAATGGAAAGAAGCAGAAGGAAGAATGGATACAAAAACTTACAGAATATGCAGAAATAGCGAAACTTACTGGAAGAATTAAGAAATAAAGATTTTAAAAACTTTAAATAAAAAGAATGGAAATTAATTATTGAATATTTACAGATATGATTGTAAACAGAAGAACATTGACAGGATTATTGTAATAACCTACAGTTTTATAAGCGTATATATTTAAGTTAATTTGTTAACTTTGTGTTAAATATGTATTCTGTAGTTGACCTTTGTAGTATTTTTTTTTAATCTTTAAGATAATATTTTAGTTTTCCGTTAATTATGTTGCTCTGTTTTATTGATGTTTTAATATTCTGTAAACCGCTTTGAGATTTTTCTTAAAAATATAAAGCGGTATAGAAATGAAATGAAATATGCAGAAGACGTTAAAAATAAATTTTAGGAACCGCAGAAAGGGGGGGGAAGGAAGTCGAGTTTTGAAATGTAAAAATGACTGTAAAATTAGTGAAATGTATAAACCTGAAAAGCATAAATATTTTTTAAAAAGAAGTGTAAACTTGGAAGGGGCTCGACGGGTCTTCTAGTCTAAACCCCCCCAGAAATGCCCATCAACTTGGGGGGGGGCGGCACCCTCACACATGGAGTCGCGGCGGAGAGTGTGTTTGCGCGCCCACCGCCGGCTCTTCCCTCTCCTGCCCGCTCGGAACGACATTTCCCAGCAGCCACCGCGCCCCGCCCCGCTCCCTTTCCTTCCTGCTCCGCGCGGCGCCTCTTGGGAGTTGAAGTCCGAGGAGGAGGAGTTTCCGTTGGTGCCGGCTCTTCCCTCTCCTGCCCGCTCGGAACGACATTTCCCAGCAGCCACCGCGCCCCGCCCCGCTCCCTTTCCTTCCTGCTCCGCGCGGCGCCTCTTGGGAGTTGAAGTCCGAGGAGGAGGAGTTTCCGTTGGTGCCGTTGAAAGCGATGAGGAGGTAAAGGGGGGGCTGCGAGGGGGGTTGGCGGGAAGTTGCTGCGACCCCCGAGGGGAGTTTTGGGAGTGCCTATGTGGGGCGAGGGGGGTCGCCACCCCCACCCTGCCCTCCTGACTCTGCTTCCCACAGCGGCGTGTGGGTCTCCAGCGTCGCCTCCTCCCCCCCCCGCGTCCCTTTGCTGCCCCCTTTACTTGGGGGTCAGGGCGGGGTGAGGTGCAGCCTGACGGGGCTCTGTGGGGTTTGTGGGGTCCCCGAAAGGCGCAGCAGCATCCCGGCAGTTTCCGAGGCGAGGGAGAAAGGAGAAAAACCCGTTTTGGGGGGAGGAAGCTGCCCCCCAAGTTCAAGGGTTCCCGCCCCAGAGAAGGTGGCCCTTAAAGGGCCGGACTTAAATGGCCAGCTGTCCTGGATGCCGCCTGAGTTGAGAGGCGCCGGCCTTGCAGCGGGTTGGGCTAGATGACCCTCGGGGATCCCTTCTTTATAGCATCTAGATCAAGGGAAGTAATAGTGCCACTGTATTCTGCTCTGGTCAGACCTCACCTGGAGTCCTGTGTCCAGTTCTGGGCACCACAGTTCAAGAAGGACACTGACAAACTGGAACGTGTCCAGAGGAGGGCAACCAAAATGGTCAAAGGCCTGGAAACGATGCCTTATGAGGAACGGCTAAGGGAGCTGGGCATGTTTAGCCTGGAGAAGAGGAGGTTAAGGGGTGATATGATAGCCATGTTCAAATATATAAAAGGATGTCACATAGAGGAGGGAGAAAGGTTGTTTTCTGCTGCTCCAGAGAAGCGGACACGGAGCAATGGATCCAAACTACAAGAAAGAAGATTCCACCTAAACATTAGGAAGAACTTCCTGACAGTAAGAGCTGTTCGACAGTGGAATTTGCTGCCAAGGAGTGTGGTGGAGTCTCCTCCTTTGGAGGTCTTTAAGCAGAGGCTTGACAACCATATGTCAGGAGTGCTCTGATGGTGTTTCCTGCTTGGCAGGGGCTTGGACTCGATGGCCCTTGTGGTCTCTTCCAACTCTATCATTCCAACTTGACCGTTCTGTGACTCCTGAAACCCAAAGGGGTCCATCAAAGCAGTGCTCTGTCCTTCCTTGGAGTGGGGGGTGGTGTATGTATGTACGTACCAGGGTGGATTTGATTTAAATCAAATCAATTTAAATCACTAGTCAGTAAGATTTGATTTAAATCATCATTATTTTTTACAGAAAGACTTATTCTTGATAGTATAATAATATTTGCTTCCTTTTTATATATTTTTATTAATTTTTTAACATATCATTTCCAACAGTCATTTAACATAACTTCTTATCTTATACAATATTTTAGACTTCTGTCTACAACCTCTGAAGATTTTCCGTTCTTCATCACTTGTTCTGCATTTCTTAATTTCTCTATTTCTTTTAGTTATCGTTAACTAATAATTCTCTTCATAGTCTTCCTTGCAGTATTTCACATAATCCTCCTTACAGAACTTCTTGCAGTCCTACTAGCGTAATCTGTTTATTACAATTGCTTTTCAAATAGTTCAGATATTTACTCCAGTCTTCTAAGAATCTTTGGTCCCAAAGGTTCCGAATCCTGCCTGTTAATTTGTCTAATTCTGCATAGTCCATTAATTTCATTTGCCATTCTTCTTTTGTCGGTAGTTCTTCTTGCTTCCATTTTTGGGCCAATAATATTCTAGCTACCGTTGTTACATATAAAAACAACTTACAATCCTGTCTGTTAACATCTCCCCAACAATACCAAGTGAAAATGCTTCTGGTTTTTTGGTAAATGTATATTTCAGCATCTTTTTCATCTCATTAAAATAAATCCTTATTTCCTGATGAATAGCCTTTGAACTATAATGTAACTTAAATAGAAAACTATCTTTAGAAAGATTTTTCCTCCAAAACCATTTTATTTTAAAAATCTGATTTAAATGGGGGGGGGGGAGTTCCTGGTATGTGTCTGTGTGTTGTGGGATATATAGCTGTCAGTCAAGTCCAATATTCTGAAACAGGACTAACTGCCTCTATGTGGCCGGCAGTTTTGTCAGTTGGTCAGTTGCTGCAAGGAGTGTTAACTGGTAACTGCTTGAATGAAGTTTTCTCATGACTCACTACTATCTAGTATATAGTTTATCTGTTATGTAACCTAAGCCTGCCTTCAGGAACAACTCTGTAAACCTGAATGCATCTGATGGTAAAATAGTTTATGTTAATAATAATAATAATAATAATAATAATAACAATAATAATAACAATAATAATAATAATTATAAGATTGGGGTGGATGGTTTAACAGTTTAAAAGGGTTGGTGTTTCCTCGCGTTTTTAATATTTCATTGTGAGCTGCCCAGAGTGGCTGAGGCAACCCAGTTGGATGGGCGGCATATAAATAACAACATTATTGTTCTTTTTCGCTGGGAAGTGATTTAAAATTATATTGATGAATGATTATCGCAGACAGAACAGATATAAGAGGATTTACTCGACCTGATTATTATGTGGATAGGTTATAATAATATATAGAAGTCCGAAGCAGAAATTGGTCCTCGTAAGGACAGTGTAAACGGCGTTTCCATGTGCTGCGCTGGCTCGCCAGATGCAGCTTTGTCACGCTGGCCACGTGACCCGGAAGTGTCTCCGGACAGCGCTGGCCCCTGGCCTCTTAAGTGAGATGGGCGCACAACCCAGAGTCTGGCAAGACTGGCCCGTACGGGCAGGGGTACCTTTACCTTTAAGGACAGTGTGCAGGGAGAAAGGATGAAATGTTATTGCAGATATAAATATGTTTGATTTTATTGATTATTGAAATGAAAGTTGGGATAGCTAATGTATCTGGAGCAGGAATGGGGGGGGGACAGCTGGTGGGGTGGGAAGTCAGCTTTTAAATTTGTATTAAATTTGTATTAATTTGATGACAATATGTTTTATGCAAAATCAATTAAAAATGGTAAGAAAAACTGTTTTTGTTTGTTCGTTTTAAAGAGGGGCAATCTGGCCTTCGTTGTAAATAAATAATTGATTTTATTTTAGTAGGCACACCTCATCCCAAAAAAAGTTTTTGAGTTTCTGCTGAAATGAGGCTGCATCTTAATGTTGTATTTTAATCTTGTTTTTAAGTTGTATTTCAATCAACTTGTTTTATATTTGGTGTTAGCCGCCCTGAGCCCGATCTTGGCTGGGGAGGGCGGGGTATAAATAAATTTTATTATTATTATTATTATTATTATTATTATTATTATTATTATTATTATCATCATTACCAGAGCCAAAGATGTTTACCTGAAAATCAATTATACTGTCCATCATTTGAAAAATAAGACTTGAGCACCGTCTTGCCCCCAAATGGCACTAGACGTTCTGTTTTGGCGGTTTAAGGAGCTATTATGCGCCAAGTATCCTATCTGAGTTCTAAGCTCCCTGCTTCTGACCTCTCCGCCTTCACAGGATTGACAGCAGACACAGCCGGGATGACATCCCCCTGGAGGACCAGGAGACGGAAGGGCAGAGGCAGCTCAAGAGCCTCCTGCACCATCAGCTCGACACATCTGTCTCCATTGAGCAGTGAGTGCGGATCCTGAACAAGTGCAGAGTCTGGGTGGGAGGTGTCTCTGGCAGCGGGAAGCATTCTTGGTCCGTCGTCGCAGGAAGGTCGGAAGCACATTGCCTTGGGCAAGGGCCTTTCCCTGGGGGGCGAGGGGGGGGGACACAGTGTGCCAATGAGGGTTCTCTGCCATCGGGAGAATGGTAGATTTGGAAAAGATGCCAAGGGCCATCTAGTCCAACCCCCTTCTCAGGATCCGGTGGCGCAGGCTCTTTCCCGGAGGCTTGGCCTGCCGCCTCCCAGGGTAGCCCTCTTCTAACGCCGCCGTGTTGGCTCGCAGGTGTGTGTCCAAGCGCCGCTGCTTTGCGCCTGCAGCGCTCTACAAACCCTTTGGAGAGGAAGCCGCTGGGACCTGCACCTTGCCTCAGTTCCAGGCGCTGCAAGAAAGCAACAAAGAGGCTGCCGCTCTTCGAGAGCTGGGCCTCTCAGACGCCGAGATCCAATTCTGGAAGACCCATGCCTTGGCAGATAAGGTAAATGAGGGGGCGGGGAGTCCTTCACTGTGTTCACTTCACTGCCTAGTAAGGGCACTGCAGTCGGCTGGTGGAAGCCAGTTTGTTTTGCCACAGCCTATTAATGACCAGCTTGCTGTAACGCAGCCTTTCTGAACCTATGGGTCCCCAGAAGTTCATAGAATCATAGAGTTGGAATAGACCACAAGGGCCATCGAGTCCAACCCCCTGCCAAGCAGGAAACACCATCAGAGCACTCCTGACATATGGTTGTCAAGCCTCTGCTTAAAGACCTCCAAAGAAGGAGACTCCACCACACTCCTTGGCAGCAAATTCCACTGTCGAACAGCTCTTACTGTCAGGAAGTTCTTCCTAATGTTTAGGTGGAATCTTCTTTCTTGTAGTTTGGATCCATTGCTCCGTGTCCGCTTCTCTGGAGCAGCAGAAAACAAGTTGTTGAACTACAACTCCAATCATCCCTAGTTAGCAAAGCCAGAGCTCAGGGATGATGGGAGTTGTAGTCCAACAACATCTGGGGGCCCACAGGTTGAGAACCGCTACGTAACGCAAACTGGACCTTTTCATTGGTGGCACCAGTGCAGTGGTCTGCCTTCCATGCTGAAATACATGAGGCCTAAGAGTCAGGCTTCAGGGAATTGGATTCTTCCCCCACTTGGCAGTAGATAAGCAGAACAAAGGAAAAGGAGTCTTCTTACCATTTAGAAACTTTAATGATCACAGCGAGAGAACAAAGAACCCATCTCCTAGGAATGGCGATGCTCCCAATGAAGAATTCCACCCCCTTATGTCCCTAGTCACCCGTGTCACTTTTAAGTCTTGTAACCTGAACTTGTACCCTCTGTGCTTTCTTTTCTGCCACAGTCTCAGCCATTCTTGATCCTGGGGAGAGCAGATGAATGCTTTGCAGAGACAGTAAATCTGTTAACTCTCTCTCTCTCTCTCTCTCTGTGTGCGTGTGTGTGTTTCTTCTCCTAGCTGTTCCCCACCCAGTATTTCCCAGCTTCTGCCTTCTGAGCTATGTCCCTCTGCAAACCACTATTCCAAGTCTATACTGTCCTCCTGCTCCTGCGAAGATTCAGGATCCTGAGCAGGAGGAGGGGGAAGCTCCCACCATTCCTCCTCATTGCAGCCCTTCTCAGCACCAGAGGAGGGATCTCCTATGAGTGGGAGGAAGCTGAAGGGGTGGGGGACGAGGGGCAGGCACCTGACCCTTGTCTATGGCTTCCTTCCAGAGTCCCGGCCTTGGAGCAGCCCCCGAGGCGATACGAGAGAGGATCGGGGCCATCGAGGAGAAGATGGCCGAGCGCCAGCGCATCCTTTCGCTGCCCCAGCGCTTTGCGGGCAGCAAGCAGCTGAGCAGGCGAGAGATGGAGATTGAGAGCTCTCTCTTCCAGGGCACGGACCGCCACGCCTTCCTGAGGGTTCTGTACCACCAAGGTGCATGGCCGGGGGCCCCTGGAGTCCTTGTGGGTGGGCGTGGAAGGCAACTGGGGGAGGTGGCGGGGTGCTTCATTGCCTAACTTTCCTCACAACGTAGCCTTCTGCAAATGTCTGTCACTGAGGGCTCTGTTGTTTCCCTTCTGGCCCAGATGAAGCTACGCAGGAGGACCCCTTGTCACACCTCAGCACAACTCTTGGCCGCCGGCCTGAGGGGCTTCCCTTGCCTCCCCAAAGTGACCCAGATGTGCCGTGCCCCGTGCCTCCCAGCAGCCCCCCAGTGTCTCAGGGCGCAGATCCCCGGCCAACCCCAGCACCCGTGATGGTGACAGAGCCGGTGGAGTTTATCCCAGAGGAGGAGATCCGCAAAAACCGCCTCTCGGAGGAGGAGATCCGCCAGATTCCCCGGTTTTCCTCCTACAGCCCTGGAGAGCCAAACGAGGTGAGTCTCTTCCCTCCCTGCCCCTGGGGCTCAGGAGCCTCCCTGCTTGCAAATGGAGGAGCAGCAAGGACGTTCTCTCCCACCACTTGGCGGTGGGGGAAACGGGACGAAAAGCTTATTGGGGAGTGGCATCAGGTTCATGTTCTAGAACCCTCAAGATCAGGGGCAGATGTCCTAGGAAACTAATGAAGCTTGACCTTCAGAGCCTCAAATCCCAGAAGGACACCAGAAGTAACTTGGGTCCACCTTGCTTACAAAAACCGGGTCCGGTTCACCCGAGTTGAGTCGCATGGCTCCAGTCAATTAATTTCAGCAGTCTCCCTTTCGACAAACTCAAAGTTTGAGAGTTGGTAACAGAGAGGTTAGGGACGCGGGTGGCGCTGTGGGTAAAAGCCTCAGCGCCTAGGGCTTGCCGATCGAAAGGTCGGCGGTTCGAATCCCCGCGGCGGGGTGCGCTCCCGTAGTTCGGTCCCAGCGCCTGCTAACCTAGCAGTTCGAAAGCACTCCCGGGTGCAAGTAGATAAATAGGGACCGCTTACTAGCGGGAAGGTAAACGGCGTTTCCTTGTGCGGCTCTGGCTCGCCAGAGCAGCAATGTCACGCTGGCCACGTGACCCGGAAGTGTCTCCGGACACCGCTGGCCCCGGCCTCTTAAGTGAGATGGGCGCACAACCCTAGAGTCTGTCAAGACTGGCCCGTACGGGCAGGGGTACCTTTACCTTTTTAACAGAGAGGTTGTCAAGGGGGTCAGCTGGCCATTCTGTGGAAGAGCGCTTCCATTCTTTTTGCAGCTAGTCTCCAAAAAATGACTTTCCCAGGAAGCTCTCCAGACATGAAGATGTTGCTCGAAAAGCCAGGGGGGGAAAGATCACAAAATTGTAGAGTTGGAAGGAATCCCAAGGGTCACTTAGAGAAGGATCTGAAATATTTTCCCCAAAGCTTGAATTTGTTTTATTCTGGATTGTTTTATACTGTATTGGCCTGAATATAAGCCGCACCTGAATATAAGCCACACTTTTCAAAATCGGGGGGGGGGGGGAATACAATACCCGAATATAAGCCACTCCATTAAAATTTTGCAGGCACTCACACCCGTTCCATTTTACCATATGTCTATTTCAGCAGCAAAATCGTAAAGGCCAAGTTTTGTAAGGTCACAAATTTAAGCCGCACTTTGACTTTTCACAGTCGGAATTTGGGGGGAAAGTGAGGCTTATATTCAGGCCAATACGGTATGTTGTTTTAATGTGTCGACACCCACTTAGATTTTTTTTCTTTAAAATATAAAGTGGTATAGAAATGGAATTAATAATAACCATCATCATCTTCTCTTCTTTGGTGATCACTCGTAGCCGAGTAAGATTGTCTTCCATAAACAGTTTTGACAGTGAGTCTGTAAGTGACTGTGGAGGTCAATTCTGGATCAACACATCCTTCCACAGTGAGGACATAGGTTTCTGGACGGGAGTTGATAACGGTGTGGATTTGCCAAGCGTGCCTTCCTCCTAGCACATTTCTCCCTTTCGTCCTGAGTTCGAGCGTATTGAAAGTCCATGACACCTTTGGTAAAGGCTGTTCTCCAATTGGAACACTTGTAGGCCGGTGTTTCCCAGTTACATTTTTTTAGATTTGCCTTGAGAGAGACGCTTTCCATTTTTACGTTTGGAATACAGTAGTTGCTTTGGAAGACGATCATCAGGCATCCGCACAACATGACCAGTCCAACGAAGTTGATGTTGAAGAATCATTGCTTCAACACTGGTGATCTTTGCTTCTTCCATGAACTAGACATTCTGTGGTGGTGACGGCCACCTAGATTTAAGGTGTCATTTGGCGATTAGCTTATATATCTGAGTTTCTAACACTGCATTACTGTATGTGTTTTGGTGCTGAGCAGGTGCTGTACTTGAAGAACCTCAGCCGCCGCGTCAACATGAAGGAGCTGCTGTCTTTGTTTGCGAGGTTCCAGGAGGAGGGAGGCCCCCAAATCCAATTCCGCCTGCTGAGTGGGCGCATGAGAGGACAAGCTTTCCTCACCTTTCCCAGTGAGTGTCCAGCCCTCCATGTCCCCCAGAGCCAAATGCTGGCCTTCCGGTTGGGATGTGGGCGGGGAATGGAGTACAGAGGCTCCAATGGTCTCTGGATTCCTCCCCAGGAGCTGGACCACCAGGGCTGATCCTGTGTCGCTCTTTGGTCTCAGGTATCTCTACGGCACAGGCAGCCCTGCAGCTGGCAAACGGCTTCATCCTGCTGGGGAAGCCCATGGTTATTGAGTACGGGAGGAAGAAGACACCTTGACTCTAAGCCTTCATCCTGGAGTCTCCCCTGTGCTGCAGCAAAGTGGAAGCAGCCAGAGGGGTTTCACCTGGACGTGCGGGCAGCTGAACAGTCCAGGCCAAAAAGAAGTGTCACTTGCTGCCAGGGGCAGAGACCTGGGACTGTGTGACGGACAGCTGAGGTGGACCAGAGTGCCTCCGAATTCCACTAGCGGCTGGGAGTCTCTGTCTGTTTGGCTACCAAGACAGCTAGCCAGAGGGGGGGTTGTGTGGAGCATTTAGGGAGGGAGAATAAAAGGAGCAATTTCTAAGAGAGTGGGCAGATAGTTTGAGGGAGATAGTTGGTTCTGGTCTGTGTGTAGCATCCACTCCGAGAAAAGTATCTACAGCTAGTGAAAGGAGTCTCTGAGTTTAGACTGAAAGACGGTGTGTACTCTCTCGGGAAAGTATTCAGACAGGAGTTAACTGGGGGCTGAGTTTGAGCTAGGAGAAGTAGGAGCTGTGAGGATACAGTCTGCTTGGGTCTCATTTCAGTTAGGAGGGGAGTGATCTTCTAGGAAGAGAAGAATCCCAAACCAGATAAGAAGGTCTGTTATATTGCTAGAAATACCTCTTGGGTGGGATTCATAAAAGGTTGGGTAACGTGACAGAAAGTGCCACGTTGTTTAAGAAACTAGAGAATTCACCTATGCAGCAACTAAGCTAAGGAACTGAAGTGAAATTACTGGAAATAAATAAAATAAAGAAAATTTTTTATTATTATTTCTACCCCGCCCACCCTGGCCAGGGCTGGGCTCAGGGCGGCTAACGCCAAATATAAATTACAATACAATGTAATGGGGGGGGGAGTTAATTAAAATACGGCTTAAAATGTAGCCTCATTTTAGTAGTAGCCCATAAATCAAGACCATAAAGGGAGGAAACATCAGATATTCACCCAAGCCAGCTATCCATGCTGGTCGTACATGGGCCAGCAAAAAAGCCAAGGGAAAATTTATATTCCAAATCCCATATAAGGGGTCAGAGTAAGTCTAAGCCAAAGGCCAGGTGGAACAGCTCCGTCTTTCAGGCCCTGCGGAAGATGCCAAGTCCCACAGGGCCCTGGTCTCTTGTGACAGAGCATTCCCCCAAGTCGGAGCCACGGCCGAAAAGGCCCTGGCCCTAGTTGAGACCAATCTAAGCCACTCCAGCGCATACCTGTCCTCCTCCCAAGCTGCCTCTAATTCCCCTTGCTTTGCAGAAGGTGATGTCACTTTTCTTGCCCTGTCTCTCTGCGACATCTGGCTTTCCAGGATGCCAGCTTCATCAAAAGCCAAGACATGGCATCCTATTGCACGTGTGAGGCGTATGGTGGGCAGGGACGGATGCTTCTGCTAAGAAATGGGTTTAAGGGAAGACAGATGGACAGATTTATGTGAAGACAGATGTGAGGCTGGTTATCCCACAGGATAAATATGCTAAAAGAAGCTGAGGATTTACCATCTAATCTAGAAACCTGTAATATCTAACTGAAGAGTAGTTACCGTATTTTTTGCTCTGTAAGACTCACTTTTTCCCTCCTAAAAAGTAAGGGGAAATGTGTGTGCGTCTTATGGAGCGAATGCAGGCTGCGCAGCTATCCCAGAAGCCAGAACAGCGAGAGGGATCGCTGCTTTCGCTGCGCAGTGATGCCTCTTGCTGTTCTGGCTTCTGGGATTCAGAATATTTTTTTCCTTATTTTCCTCCTCCAAAAACTAGGTGCGTCTTATGGTCTGGTGCATCTAATAGAGCGAAAAATATGGTGCTTAAAAGAAGCTGTGAATTTACTACCTTGTTTAGAAGCCTGTAACATCCATTCGATTTAGTGTAATTATTAATGCTAACTGTTTCCCAAAGGAACATTATTTCCTGATGCGTCCTTTGTTTTATCAGCTTTGTCCTGTAAAATAAACCTTTCTTATTTCTTCAACTTCTGCCTGGGTCTCCAGGGATCTAAGGTAAGGTCAAGGTAGGTAAAGGAACCCTGGATTGTTAAGTTCAGTCAAAGGCGACTATGGGGTTCTGGCGCTCATCTCGCTTTCAGGCTGAGGGAGCCTGCATTTGTCCGCAGACACCTTTCCGGGTCGTGTGGCCAGCATGACTAAACCGCTTCTGGTACCCCAGACCTTCTGATCGGCAAACCCAAGAGGCTCAGTGGAAGGCAGCTATGCTCACCACTAAACCACCAACGCAACCCAAGAGGCTCAGTGGTTTAGGCCACAGCGCCACCCACATCCCATAGGATCTAAGTTTACTTCCAAGGATCTAAGTTTACCCTCACACAAAAACCATCAGATAACCCGTGGTGGTTAATATGGTGTATACAGAGGGGGTTTGCCGCAGAGCACAGCAGGGAAGGCAACCAAAGAGTACTCACTAATGGTTCCTCGCCATCCTGGAGAAATGGGAGAAGTAGGGTACCACAGGGTTCGGTCCTGCGCATGTTACACTTAGATACCCATCTTGACCGAAGGATACTCTGCCATTTTAACAGTCTTAATGTGGTTACCACATAAGCACACACCTGCAGTGCTTCAGATGAAGCGTCCAGACCTCCATTGCCAAATTTAAGCCCAGAAATCTAGGCTGAGCTATTGTGCCTCGGCAACTGGAGCAAGGGAGGCAAAAGGTAACTGCAAAGGGGGTGCAAGTACTGGGGCTGGAGATGCCTTATCCCAAGTTACATAGTCCTCTGGTCAACCGATCCAGACTTCTTACTGGAGAAGACGTCATTATTAGCGAAAGCATGCTTTGCAAAAATGTGCCTTAGGAGAAATCTGCACTACAGTGCTGACAGATTTTCAGGAGCTCCTTTCTTTTACTGTGAAGTGGCAATTTGGCGGACTTCCGGAGGCGGCGCGAAACGGCAATGGCGGTCCTCCTCAGCTGCTGAAGAGGGGCTCCGCGGAAAAGGGTCGTGCGCTGCGGCACAGCGACGACCCATTTAGAAAAACCACGGGTAGAGTGAGCCCGTGGCCGTGGGACTCGGCGGGCACCAAGAGCGACCTCGGAAACGCAGAAGGGACCCCGTAAGGGGCTCCGGAACGTGGAGGGGGTAGCGGTGCTGTGAGTCCATCGCTCTTTCCGCGGAAGTGAAGCCGCGCGGCTGTTGCAGATGAGCGCTGACCTTTCTTCCTTGAGGATTCGATTGAAAACAACATACTCGTGAGTAAGAGACCTGAGATCTTTGAGACTAAATTCCTGAAATTTGGCTGAAAGCGGGAGACGTTAAAAAGGAAGTCCGTCTCCTGACCCTGCTTAAAGTGGCAAGCAAAGAGCTGTCAAAGCTGAAGCGCTGACAGGGACTTTAAAAGAAGCTGGAATTTACCCGGCAAATTCGGATTGGATTATTTAAAAGTTAAAACTGTATTTTTATAAGTGGATATAAATCGTAATTTCTCTTCCCCCTTTTTGTGGATTATAAAGCTTTGAAATCCAGCCCCCGGGCTGCCTGGATACAAAAGAACCATCAGACTGCGGTAACTGTATACAAAGTTTTAAAGTTACTTTGGGGCTTCTCTGTAAGTTACAAAAAAGGAACTGTTGCATGCACCACTGTTAAGAACTTTCACTCTCTGCAGTTTAAACTGAATTTTGAAGGTTCTCTCCTTTACTCTGTTTTTTACTGAGTTTTTACCTGACTACTTATTGGGGACTTAATGGTGGAAATTTTTACTTTTTTCCCTTTCCCTTTCTTTTGTTCTTTTGTTAACCTTTGGGGAGCTCCCCCTACTGGATTGTGGAATTGCTAGTCTCTGAGAACTGCTGGTTGTTTTGAAAATTTTGTGGTTGGATGTTTACATCCTGGATTGCTTTTCCCATGGGATTTACAATTTGACCTTGGCACCTGGACAGCTGTGGAATGAGTGGCGCACCAAAAACAAGGGCTGCCAAAAAAGCAAAACAAACTGAGCTGTTGCAATTAACTTTGCCTGTGCAGCCACGTAGATCATCGGTCCCAATTGTTACAGGCCTGCAAGAAGGTCAGCTACAACAGCCAGCTTTTGGGGATATGGCTGCAGGAGGGCTAGACCCAGTTTCTAAAGAAATATTAGACCAGTTGGCTGCCTTAAACAAGAAAGCTGATGAACAAGCGGCTAGATTTGATCAAGTGACAGCTTCAATTAACAAGCTGACCGATCAAGTTTCTCAAAATACACAGGCCATTGGTAATATACAAACAACAACAACAGAGAATCGTAAATTGGTCGAAGAAGTAAATTTAAAAGCGGAACAAAATAAGAAGAAAATTGAGGAATTAAGAGGGGAAGTAAGACCACTGGGCAGACAGATCAATGAACAGCAAGCTTATCTGTCCATGGCGGAACTGAAAAACCGGGAAAGCAATCTTAGGCTTAGGAATATCCCAGAATTTGAGAAAGAAGATTTGATTGGTTTTTTGACAGCAGAAATATCTAAATTCTGGGGTCTGGCAGAAGAGAAGGACTACAAAATTGTTACCGCCTTTAGACTGGGAAGAGTGGTTAAAAAAGATAAACCAAGGGACTGCTTGATCATCTTGAGATCAAAGCAAGAAAGAGACAACATACTCGGCCTACATTTTAAAAATTCATTGGTGATTCAAGGAAAGACAGCAGAGATCTTCAGAGATATACCGAAACAACTGTTGGATTTAAGAGCTACATACAAAGACCTTGCAAGTCTACTAAGGAACAACACAATCCCTTATAGGTGGGAATTCCCCCAAGGATTATCTTTCAGTCTGAAAGGGAAAAAGGTAAGAATTAGATCAGCAGAAGAGCAAGAAAAGTTCCTAAACGACTACGGGGAGGACCTTCGGAAAGGAGTAGCAGGTGCTTGGTCACTTCCTCCGCCTGGCCCAAAACCAGACCCACTTCCAGATATAGACGACAAGGGAGACAACCCTATAGGTTGACAAATTGATTCAGGATGTCTCTGCAGCTTCTTAGTTGGAACATTCATGGTGCAAATTCCCCGGAAAAAAGAAGAAGGATTTTTCACATTTTGAGGAAAGAACAACTGGACGTTATTTGCTTGCAAGAAACACATGTGACTAGACTCCACAGGAGGGTGTTAATTAATAAGAGACTAGGCCAAGAATTTATTTCATCAGACAAAGTTAAAAAAAGAGGAGTAGTGATTTATGCAAAGGAGAACCTAGCACCGAAGTTCGTTTTTAAAGATGAGCAAGGAAGAATTTTGGCGATCGAAATACAATCACAAGGAGAAAAATTCCTGATAGTAGGAATATATGCACCAAACGAGGGGAAATCGGAATTTTACAAAAAGCTGCATGAGACAATGCTGGACCATATTGACTATACTAACATCATTTTGATGGGAGACATGAATGGGGTTGTCTCCACTTATATGGACAAGTCACAAACTCAAAACTTGACTAAAGATGGCAGACTACCTAAGACTTTTTTTGAACTAACAGACAATATGGATTTGATTGACATTTGGAGGACAAAAAACCCTTTAGGAAAAGAAGGGACATTCTTTTCTGAGGCCCACCTATCATGGACACGGATCGACCAAATTTGGTTATCTAGAGGACTGGCACCTAAGACAAAAAAAATAGAAATCTGCCCCAAAACCTGCTCCGACCATAACGCCTTGAAAATGGATTTGAGACTTACACCAGCTGGATCCTTCAGATGGAGAATGAATGACACCCTACTTAGAGATCAGGAGATTGTGAAGAAGGCCCAAAAAACGTTGAAGGACTATTTTGAAATAAATTTGAACACCTCGGTGGAAAAGAAAACAATTTGGGACGCGAGTAAAGCAGTGATGAGAGGGTTTCTGATACAACAGAATACTATTAAGAAAAAACTCTGGAATGGTAAAAAGGATAAGATTTTGGAGAAGATAAGAGATGGAGAGAAGAAGTTGAGATTAAATCCAAAATCAAAAGAAGTTTTAAGAGAAATAAAATTTCATCAGGCACAATATGCAAAATTGATCAACCAAGAGGTTGAATGGAAAATCAAGCAGATGAAACAAAGATCATTTGAATCAGCAAATAAATGTGGGAAGCTGCTGGCGTGGCAGCTGAAAAAGAGGCAAAGGCTGAACTTTGTTACCAATCTGGAGGTTGAAGGAGAATGTATTCAGAAACCAGAAGAAATTAGAAAGTCCTTCCAGAGATATTTTAAAAAACTGTTTACTCAAGGACCTCAAGTAGAGTCTGAGATAAATCAATTTATAAAAAGTTATGGCTTGCAGAAATTACAACAAGACAAACAAACAATCCTGAACCACAGAATAACACAACAGGAAATTGAAAGTGCCATTCAGCATATGCAACTAGGCAAATCCCCAGGCCCAGATGGACTTACTTCCAAATATTATAAGACACTGAAGGATTATTTGATTCAGCCGTTAATGGAGGTATGTAACCAAATTATGGAAGGGAAGGGAGCACCAGAATCGTGGAAAGAAGCTTTCATCACTTTGATACCTAAATTGGAATCTGAAAAGACTCAACTTAAGAACTACCGTCCCATCTCACTCCTAAACGTGGATTACAAAATTTTTGCTGATATTCTGGCAAGTAGATTTAAAAAAGTTCTAAATGAAGTAATTCATAAAGATCAGGCAGGCTTTCTCCCTGGTAGACATTTGTCTGACAACACCAGGAACATTATCGATGTTTTGGAGTTATTACAGACAAATTTGAACACGAAAGCAGTTTTGATTTTCATAGATGCCGAGAAGGCCTTTGACAATATATCTTGGAGATTTATGAAGAAAAATTTGGAAGGGATGGGTGTGGGAAGGGCGTTCCAAAATGGGATTGAAGCAATATACTCAGAACAAAAGGCTAAACTGATAGTGAACAATGTGGTGACAGAGGAGTTCAAAATTGAAAAAGGGACACGACAGGGGTGCCCCCTATCGCCCTTGTTATTTATCTCTGTCCTGGAGGTGCTGTTGAACTTGATTAGGAGGGATCAGCTGGTGGAAGGAATACAGGTCGGAGGAAAACAATATAAACTGAAAGCCTTCGCAGATGATTTAGTTTTAACATTGCAGGAGCCAGAATCTAGCACAAAAAGAGTCCTAGAATTAATCTATGAGTTTGGTCGGGTGGCGGGATTCAAGTTGAATAAACAAAAAACTAAGGTCCTGGCAAAAAACTTGACTTCTTCAGAAATAGAGGGGTTTCAGAAGGAAACGGAATTAAATGTGGTTAAAAAAGTGAAGTACCTGGGGGTCAATTTGACCGGGAAAAATTTGAATTTGTTTAAAGATAATTATGAAAAATGTTGGTCTGAAATTAAAAAGGACTTAGAAATTTGGTCGAGATTGAAACTTTCCTTGTTGGGAAGAATTGCAGCTGTAAAGATGAATGTATTGCCTAAGATGTTGTTTTTGTTCCAAACCCTGCAGATTGTGGACAGAGTGGAATGTTTTGGAAAGTGGCAGAAGGACATTATGAAGTTTGTCTGGCAGGGCAAAAAGCCCCGGATAAAATTTAAAATTCTAACAGATGCAAAAGAAAGAGGGGGATTTGCCCTGCCGGACTTAAGGTTATATTACGAAGCTGCGTCCTTCTGCTGGATGAAGGATTGGTTTTTACTAGAAAACACTGATGTCCTAGATCTGGAAGGGTTTAACAATGCGTTTGGGTGGCATGCATATTTGTGGTACGACAAGGTAAAGGTTCATAAATTGTTTAAAAACCATATTGTCAGGAAAGCTTTGTTCAATGTCTGGACCAAATACAAAGACTTACTTGAAAACAAGACTCCGAGGTGGCTATCACCAATGGAGGCTAAGGCCCCAAAAATGCTTAACATGGAGGGTGGCTGGGCAAAATATTGCGAGATAATAGAAAGAGTCGGAGACAATTGGAAGTTGAAGAGTTTAGAAAAATTAAAAGATAAGGTGCGAGACTGGCTACACTATGCCCAAATACAAGAAACTTTTAAAAAGGACAAAAAAATTGGCTTCCAGGTGGAGAAATCGAAATTAGAGACAGAACTACTTGAACCTAAGACGAAAGTGCTTTCAGGAATGTATAACTTGTTGCTTAAATGGAATACTCAAGACGAGACTGTCAAATCAGCTATGATAAAATGGGCCCAAGATATTGGGTACAACATTATGTTTGAAGACTGGGAAAGGTTATGGACCACCGGTATGAAATTCACGGCTTGTACTGCCCTGAAAGAAAACATTATGAAAATGATATACAGGTGGTACATGACCCCAGTCAAACTTGCAAAGATATATCATTTGTCTGATAATAAATGTTGGAAATGTAAGGAAGCTGAAGGAACTTTTTTTCACCTCTGGTGGACATGCCCGAAGGTGAAGGCTTTTTGGGAAATGATTTATAATGAGTTGAAAAAGGTATTTAAGTATACCTTTTGCAAGAAACCAGAAGCCTTCCTCCTGGGCATTGTGGGCCAGAGAGTGTTAAAAAAGGACAGAACTTTTTTTCTCTATGCAACTACTGCAGCAAGAATCCTTATAGCTAAATACTGGAAGGCACAGGAGTTACCCACACTGGAAGAGTGGCATACGCAACTGATGGACTACATGGAATTGGCCGAAATGACAGGCAGAATCCGGGACCTGGGAGAAGAGGCAGTGGAAGAGGACTGGAAAAAATTTAAGGACTATCTACAAAAGCATTATAAGTTATATGAATGTTGAGAATTTGCTAAGTTATTGGAAAAACATGCTTCAGTATGGAGATTTGAAAATGGGGGAAATTAAGTTATGATTGTGAAAAGTTCAAAATTTAGAGCAATGTTCCTAATATTAGGGATGGAGGATAGAAAGAAGTTACTCAACAATAAGTACTCTAAATCTAAAATATAATCAGATGAAAGTACAAAAACGCATGAAACAAGGTATTAATTTGCTGTAATTTTATTTTTTATAAAGAATGCAGGGCGCTGGGGATGTGGGGAAGTCCAGTGGATCATGAAAAATGTTTGAAACTTTCTTTTTTCTATTTTTCTTTTTCTATTCTGTAAAACCGCTTTTGTTGAGTTACTGACGATGTATTTGACCCTGGAAAAAAGCAATAAAAAATATTTAAAAAAAAAATAATGAAGTGGCAATTTGGATAACTATATTTAAGACTGCAGAAATGAGACAGAGAAAACGGAAAGGTGTGCCCCATGCCTAATGGGTTTCTCACCCCTACAGGCTCCCTCATTTCCCCCCTTCCCTTCTCTGCACTTCACTGCAAATCCACAGCGGTGACCAGAGGAGAAATGACCACTGGGAGGAGTGCAGAGAAGAGAAACACCATAGTGCATCTGCAGCAGCACAACTGGACGCCGTCACCTTCCCTAGTTGCAACAAAACATGTCAGTCCTGCATTGGTCTCTGCAGCCGCAACAGGCGCTGCGAGCTTCCAACAGTTTTACTTCACCCCAAAAGACTCACTTCTCCCTTGTTTTCCGAGACTGGCAGATGCCAATCAATATATACCTCATAATGCCAAAGTTGGCTTCCATGCTTTTTACAGCTATAAACATTTATGCATCATTAAACCAGAAGCATATAGACATTTATGCAACATTAAACCACAAGCATCCCTAATTAGAACACGGAATGAAACAATCCCAGTTAATCACCCAGATATAAAGATCCACAATAATTTAAATATACAATAAAGCAACCCCCTATAAACCTTAGCATGTAAGCGTCCACATTTATAACAGCACAAGAAAGCAATCCTGCTAAAGCGTAGCATGCGTACTCAAAATCCACAATACATCAATGTCATTAAAATATAAGCAGCTGTAACTGAAATAATTGGACGATCCCATTCAAAAAGAAAAAGGCACGCGCGGCAGGCAGGTTGCCACCTTCCCCCTTGGCAGGGTTCTGCCTTTGGAAGCCTCTATTCAGGAGGAAGTGGGGAAGCTTCACCGGTTGAATCTCTGCCAATCGTGACCCGCTGCCGTGCTAAGAATGAATGGATGAAAATCTGCCCTCCTCCTGCTTTCATTGTTTAAATCCCTTATCTCCCCCTGGAGCCCGAACCAGGCAGGTTACACCTCTCACTTTCCTGGTTGGTGGCGGGGAAAGTCAACCCCAAAGGGTTAAAAGCGACGAGCTACTGGCTTCCTAGAGAGGCAATGAGGAAGGCGAGTCCTCCCAGCTCCCTGGGATGGTCCTGTGATGGCTTTTTGAATTTCCTTTTGCTGCAGAAAACAAGAGAGGAGAGCAGGATCCAGCCTGGAAAAGGTATTGGGCGGTGGGTGGAGGGATTTGCAAGATCGAGGTTTAATAAGATCTCCCATCACCACTTTCCTCTGGCTCTCTGGTTGCAAAAGCTGCCTGGTGACCTCAGGAGGGTCGGACTCTGTTCCTCTTTTGGGAGGGAAGACCTTTTGCAAACGGTAATTTCGTTCCCTCTTTTCCTGTGTGTGCAAAGCGTAAATCCCTGCTAAAGTTGCCTGTCTGGAGATGCCTCCTTCTGATATAGCAACGCACACAGCAAAATCACTGGGGTGTGATGGAAGGTGGTGGTCTCTCTCCAAGAGAAGCTGCCTTATACAGGGCATAGAATCATAGAACTGTAGGGGTTCCCAGGGTCATCTAGTCCAACCCCCTGTGATGCAGGAATCTCAGCGTAAGCATCCATGACAGTTGGCCCTCCAACCTCGGCTTAAAATCCTCCAAGGAAGGAGAGTCCACAACCTCCCTTTGGAGTCTGTTCCACTGGTGAACAGCTGTTACAGTCAGAAAGTTTTTTCCTGATGTTTAGTCGGAATCTCCTTCCTTGCAACTTGAAGCCATTGGTTCGGGTCCTACCCTCCGGGGCAGGATAAAACAAGCTTGCTGCATCTTCCATGGGGCAGCCCTTGAGATATTTGATGATGGCTATCCTCTCTCCTCTCAGTCTCCTCTTTTCCAAGCCTTAACTGTTCCTCATAGGGCTTAGTTTCCAGACCCTTGATCATCTTGGTCGCCCTCCTCTGCCCACCTTCCAGCTTGTCAATGTCCTTTGTAAATTGTGGTGCCCAGGACTGGACACAGTATTCCAGGTGTGGTCTGACCAAGGCAGAATAGAGCATAGCTGTCAACGTTTCCCTTTTTTGAAGGGAAATTCCCTTATTCCAAATAGGATTCCTCGCAAGAAAAGGGAAAAGTTGACAGCTATGGAATAGAGTGAGACTAAGACTTCCCTTGATCTGGACACTAGACTTTTGTTAATGCAGCTTAGAATAACATGGGCATTTTTTTTTTGCTGCTGCATCACTTGTTAAGCTTTGGTCCATCAAGACCCCTAGATCCTTTTCACATGTCCTGCTAGTAAGCCAGGTGTTTCCTCATCCTATACAGTGGTGCCTCTGGTTGCGAACGGGATCTGTTCCGGAGGCCCGTTCACAACATGAGCAGAAGGCAACCCGCATCTGTGCGTGTGCGGGTCATGATTCGCCACTTCTGCGCATGCGTGTGACATCATTTTGCGTGTCTGCGCATGCACAAGTGGCGAAACCCAGAAGTAACCCTTTGCAGTACTTCCAGGTCACAGCAGAACACAACCTGAAAACGCTCAATCTGAAGCAAACGTAACATGAGGTATGACTGTATTTGTGCATCTACTTCTTCCTGCCTAAGTGGACAACCTTACATTTGTCTCTATTGAAATTCATTTTCTTATCTCAGGCCCTGTTCTCCAATCTGTTAATCTCATTGTGAATTCTGATTCTGTCTTCTGCGGCATTAGCTACCCCTCCAAGTTTGTTGTCAGTTCTTTATTTGTGCTCATTCTCTCTCATGACCTTTCCCCCTCTTTTTTCCTCAGCCGATCACCGGAATTTATTCTGGAATTTTCCGCTCGGTTTTTGTTCCCTCTTCCGTGAACCTTCTCCAATATGAAAAGGGGGGATCAGACCCCCACAGGACCAACATCGGGAGAGGCGGCAGGAGCGGCGAAAGCCCCTCACGTCCTCCAAGCTGGGAACATCCGAGAATTCCTGAGACGGATGCCAGGGGATCAGATCAAACAAGAGCCAAGCGAGAGCTCCCTTGAGCTCTGGGAAGTCCAGTGGCAGGAGTTCCTGAAGACGGTGGAGTCACCTCATCCGGACTGGGGCATTCCAGCCTTTCCAGAGAAGTCTTCACCATGGGACGACGCCAAGGCCTTCCTGGCCTCCTTCGAGCAGGTGGCCCAAGCCTGCCGGTGGCCCCGGGAGGAGTGGGTGGCCCGACTCTTGCCGGCCCTCAGCGGGGAAGCCGAGCGGGCCTTCCGCAGGCTCCAGGCCCGAGACAGAGAGGATTATGGGAAAGTGAAGGCGGCCATCTTGCGAGGGGACACCATGAGCCGGGAGAAGATCCGCCAGCATTTCCGGCGCTTCTGCTACCAGGAGGCCGAGGGGCCGAGGGGGGCCTACGTCCGGCTGCAGGAACTCTGCTGCCAGTGGCTGAAATTCGAAAGGCACTCCAAGGAGCAGATCCTGGAGCTGCTGATCCTGGAGCAGCTCTTGACCATCCTTCCAGCCCACATCCAGAGCTGGGTGAGGGAGTGTGGGCCAGAGACCTGCTCCCAGGCGGTGGCCCTGGCCGAGGACTTCCTGTTGAGGCAGGAAGTGGCCCAGAGCCAAGAAAGCCAGGTGAGGCCATATGGCCACCTTTTCCTTCTTTTCTTAAAATAATCAACTTTACTAGGGTTTATTAGGGTTAAACCACTGAGCCTCTTGGGCTTGCCGATCAGAAGGTTGGCGGTTCGGATCCCCGCAACGGGGTGAGCTCCCGTTGCTTGCTCCCAGCTCCTGCCAACCTAGCAGTTCGAAAGCACGTCAGAGTGCAAGTAGATAAATAGGTACCCCTCCGGCAGGAAGGTAAACGGCGTTTCCGTGCGCTGCTCTGGTTCGCCAGAAGCGGCTTAGTCATGCTCTCCATGGGGTCTCATTTTAAACATCTACAACTGCATATTCATCCATACTCCAATCATACCATATTATCCAAAGTAATTTTTACACTACAAGTGGACTCAGAATCCTCCTCTTGTTTCCATCTGCTTACAATGGTCTCCTAAGCACCTTATGAATTTTTCCCATTCTTTTGTAAAGTTTTTATCCTCTTGGTTTCTGAGTTGCCCAGTTTTGCCATCTCAGCATAGTCCATCAGCTTAGTTTGCCATTCCTCTCTTGTAGGGACTTTGTCTTCTGCTCCTTTGGTATGTCGGTACCTGTAATTCCTAATAAAAAAGCTTCTGGTTCCTTAACAAAAGTAATTTTAAGCATTTTGTTCATTTCATTATATATCATCTCCCAGAATGCTTTTACTACTTTACACGTCCATCACATATGATAAAAGTTACCTTCTTTTTTACATTTCCAGCAGATATTTGAACTTGTCTTATACATTTTTGCTAACTTAAAGGTAAAGGTACCCCTGCCCGTACGGGCCAGTCGTGTCTGACTCTGGGGTTGCGCGCCCATCTCGCTTAAGAGGCCGGGGGCCAGCGCTGTCCGAAGACACTTCCGGGTCACGTGGCCAGCGTGACAAGCTGCATCTGGTGAGCCAGCGCAGCACACAGAAACCCCATTTACCTTCCCGCTGGTAAGCGGTCCCTATTTATCTACTTGTACCCAGGGGTGCTTTTGAACTGCTAGGTTGGCAGGCGCTGGGACCGAGCAACGGGAGCGCACCCCGCCGCAGGGATTCGAACCGCCGACCTGACGATCGGCAAGTCCTAGGCACTGAGGTTTTACCCACAGCGCCACCTGCGTCCCTTTGCTAACTTAGTAGGAGTCAAATACCACTGGTACCTCATTCTCATAAAATTTTCTTTCAGTGTACAACATGCCCGTATGGGGAATCAAATCTGCAACCTTGGAATTATCAGTACTTTGCTCTAACCAACTGAGCTATCCAGAAACCAAAGAACTTCCAATTCTTCATCTGTCTGCTGTATATAAGCAATATTCACTTCATCCACTCCTATATAACACCTAACAACACAAGTTTATATAAACAAACATTATCTTCAGTCCTCAAATCCAAATGTCTTTAATTCATTTTCACACAAAAGGTCTATGAGGGGTTTCCAATTTTAACAGCTAGGATCTCTGTCCATCTTTTTTGCCTCCCAACCTCCAGTTCCCTCCAGATACTTTTGAGCTCTAACTCCCATGGCCAACGCTCAGGGAACGATGGGAATTGCAGTCCAAGAACAACGGGATGAGGACTGCAGGTCCCCCACCACCCCTAAGTTATATGGATTTATCTCGGATATGAATTTGCTGATGAGAACTGAGGGACTTGCTCAGACCAAAATCTTCTTCAGAGCAGATCTCAGTTCCGCCTTGACCGGATTCCTCTCTGCTCTTTCAGGTGACGTTTGAAGAGGTGGCTGGGAGTTCCTCCGAAGAAGGCCGGGGTCCGTCCCTGAACAAGCAGAGGCTTCTCTGCATCGACACCAAGCAGGAAGATGACGACGGAGAAGCTGGCCTGCTGGGTATGGGCAGAAAGCCTTTTGTGCATGAGTTTCTCTTATTTGTTTAATTTTGTTTTTATTCGTTGTAGTATCCGTCTCTTCAGCCCCAGCAGGCACTGCAACCTTGCAACAGTTTGACTTCAACCCCAAAGGCCCACTCCTCCATTGATTCCCAGATGCCAAAACCAAAATTATTACAATTATTATTATTATTATTATTATTATTATTATTATTAGTAATTATTATCAGTGTAAGCATATTAGTGGCTAGAGAGTCAGACTGACTGACCTGTAATGAAAGGGATCACCTTGTTAAATATACAGTCATACCTTGGAAGTCGAACAGAATCCATTCCGGAAGTCCGTTCAACTTCCAAAACGTTCGGAAACCAAAGTGTGGCTTCTGATTAGCTGCAGGAAGCTCCTGCAGCCAATCAGAAGCCACGCCAGGCATTTGGCTTCTGAAAATCATTCGAAAACTGGAACACTCACTTCTGGTTTCCAATCGTTCAGCAGCCAAAAAGTACGAGTTCCAAGGCATTCGGCAACCAAGGTACGACTGTACTGCATAATATTTATTTATTTATTCATTCATTCATTCATTTCCCGCCCATCTGGCTGGGCTTCCCCAGCTACTCTGGCAGCTTCCAACAAAATATTAAAATACAGTAATGCATAACACATTAAAAGCTTCCCTAAACAGGGCTGCCCTAAAGTTGCACCCAAGGTCTTTGAAAAGATCATGCTTTTCCCCCTCTATCACATAACCACGTTCCCCCTCTGTTTCCAAGTCTCGTTTCTCTCAAAGCTCTGGGTGTATTTAGGATTCTCTCCTCCTTCCTCCAGCAGCCAAAGGTTGGGTCACCATCTGCAACGGGGAAGACTACGCGGCGGAAGACTCTGAGGCCGAGTGTCCGCACGGGACATCGGTGTGGAAAACGGAGGAGAGCTTTTCCGAGTGTTGCGCGCAAAAAAATGCCTCAGGGCGCCAGGGAAGAGCAGAGGGCCGTCAGGAAAAGCTGATGGCAGAGGAAGCCGATGGATTGGGTTGCCTGACCCCCACGGAAACCCCGGCTGCAGTCCCGGTAGGAATCGACACCAACCGGAAACGGACCGCCTACGGTTCTTACGGCCGGAACGCCATCCTCCCGACGAGAACTCGGATGGGGGTGAAGCCGGTAAAATGCCAAGTCTGCGGGAAGTACTTCCTGTGCAGCGCAAAGCTCCTCGTCCATCAAAGGACCCACGCCGGGGAGAAACCCTACAAGCGCCTGTATTTCTGTGGCGCCCAGCACATGGGCTCCCCCGGCCAACCCGGCCAACCCCCCGTCCTCCACAAGATGGTTCCCTCCCGCATCCGTGGCCAGCGGTGGGAAGGGAAGGAAGTTGTGGCCTTGCTGAGCAGCATCAAAGCCAGTCCCGCCCTGGCCCTCCTGATGAGTAGCAGCTCCCAGAGGGGGCACCAACACTGGGGGAGGATCAGGGACCAGCTCCAGGCTCAGGGCTTCGTCAGGAACATCGACCAGCTCCGATCGAAGTGGAAACAGCTGAAGACGGACTTTTTTGCGGCCGGGCGGCCTGCTGCAGAAGGGAGGGAGAAGCCTGCGGTCATCCCCCCGTATTTCAACCGGATGCGGGCCGTGTGGGACGCGGCGGGACGCCCCCCCTTCAAGGACCGTCACCTGCCGGGTAAGTGGAAGCTTTATGTCAGGGGAGGGTGCCAGCAGCAGGCGTCAGTGACGTTAACTCTTCATTCAAAGAAACAATCGGCTCCAGAGGCCAGGCCTAGTGAGCACAGCAACACAGATCCCAGTAGATCTTGCCCCAATAAGGCAGTTGTGAGAGCCGAAGGTCCCCATCTTCCTACGGCTGTCTTCTCCCAAGCAATCTGAGACTTTGTTGCCTTGTCTGTCTCTGCTCCGCCCTCTTCATACCTTTCCTGGTTCTGGGAGACCAGCGGGGAGGGGAGTAATAATATAATAATAACTTATTATTTATACCCAGCCCATCTGGCTGGGTTTCCCCAGCCACTCTGGGCGGCTTCCAATAGAGTATTAAAAGCACGCTAAAACATCAGACATTAACAACTTCCCTAAACAGGGCTGCCTTCGGATGTCTTCTAAAAATCAGAGAGTTGTTTATTTCCTTGATATTTAAAAATAAAAACAAAGATTAAAAATACATTAAAATGTCACACATTAAAAACTTCCCTGAACAGGGCTGCCTTCAGATATCTTCTAAATGTCAGGTAGTTGTTTATCTCTTTGACATCTGATGGGAGGGCGTTCCACAGGGCGGGCACCACTACCGAGAAGGCCCTCTGCCTGGTTCCCTGTATCCTCACTTCTCGCAGGGAGGAAACCACCAGAAGGCCCTCGGCACTGGACCTCAGTGTCTGGGCAGAACGATGGGGGTGGAGATGCTCCTTCAGGTATACTGGGCTGAGGCTGAGTTGGCCCATTTGCTGGGTAATGTTGAGCATCGATCCCACCAGTACGTTAATAGTGACTGAGCATGCCCAGTGGGCACAGAATGTTGAGTGTCCGTTGGCAAAGAGGCGGAATGGAGTACTGAAGGAGGGTGTGGCTGGCTGAACACCACAACCAGAGCACTCCATTCCAGTGGTAACGTTTTCTCGTGGTTCCCAGCTTGGCTCTTCATAATGGGGGTCGTGGGAAGGGCCCAGCCCCGTGTATCCCAGTGAGGTGACCACAAGAGGTCATGGTCCGCAGTGAAACGGCCTTGTCCCTCTGTCCCCTTTCAGCTTCTTACCGAGCCCGGAGGCGTGAGCTGGAGAGATGTGAGGAAGATGACGAGGACGACATGGAGGTACAAGGCCCCTCCTGCTAACAGACGAGGGGGACACCCGGAATCGAGGAAAAACAAGCCTTCTGTGAGGTCCTATGAACCAGTAGCCAAGCGCCACAACCAGGAGGGGCACCGCTGGGAACTCGAGTGGCCCATGTAAGAATAACGGAACAGTGTTCACTAGCCTTTGCCTAGTCCAGTGTTTCCCAACCTTTTTTGGGCAAAGGCACACTTGCTTCATGAAAAAAATCTCGAGGCACACCACCATGCCAGATGGGGAAAGGTCACTTTTTACTTATGTAAAAAAAATAAAAAAAATAGTAACAGCATAGAAGGTAATGGTTAGGCTAGCATCCCTCTTCCAAATATGCTAGGTTTTTATTTGCAGGGACTGTTCTACATGGGAAAGCATTCAGCACTGTCATTCTCCCATCTGCCATCTGAATTGGTACTATTCTGGGTCAACTTACTCTGCTGCATGTGTAGATGAAAATGGCACCAAGTGTGGGGGAGGGGGCAGAACAGGTTTCAGATACAGGATATTAAGCATACACGTACTTCAGATTGAACTGGTTGCTTGCTTTGCAAGTTTTCATTTCCCAAATGACTGCCTTGGCAAGCGCAATACCTACCAGGCTCAACGCCGGTCTCGCGCTGCCGCTTCCCGCGCTCTCAAGGACCCGGGAGGAGGAAGGCATGAAGGGAATCCCGAAGGCGCGAAAACCTCGCGCATGCGCAGGCCTTCCGCCTGCGACAGCCCAGTAGGCCGGCCGAAGCGAGCGGCGATGGGATGTGGGAGGGAGCTCGCTCGCCGCCCCGCGTGTGCCTATGTGGGGCACGTTACAGCCCCGTGACGTCAGCGCCACGCAGGCAGCCAGGCAGGCAGACGGCGAGAGCCCCGCGCTGGGCGGCCTCTCCTCGCCGCCCCGCCTCTCGCCGCCCGACTCGCCCGCCTCCCTCCAGGCAACATCTCGCGGCACACCAGGCAACGTCTCGCGGCACACTAGTGTGCCGCGGAACACCGGTTGGGAAACACTGGCCTAGTCTGTTTTTAGCACTTAATGTTGCTTAGGTGGTAAGGCTGACAACAACCCTGAGGGGTAGGCCAGTAATTATTGTTGTTCATGTAATTTGGACCTTTTTTATTCCTTAATGTGCTTAATATTACATAGCAGACAACCCTGAGAGGCCAGTAAGATGTAACACTTATTATATTATATTATATTATATTATATTATATTATATTATATTATATTATATTATATTATATTATATTATATTATTATACCAAGCTTCTCAGCTTGACAGCATCCATGTGAGGCAGGCCAGTAATTCGGAGCTATAATTTAGAGCTTTAAAAAACTACCTAATAGGCTTAATGATATTTAACTAGTCAACCTGACAACGGTCATGAGAGATAAGCCAATAAGTATTGTTACTTTTTGCAGGGAACTTTGGGAATTGTAGCTCTGTGAGGGGAGTAGGGGTCTCTCCTTACACTCTCAGCACCTCTCAGCTCCCAGAATCCGTTGGGGGAAGCCATAACTTTTTAAAGTGGTACAGTGGTGCCTCGCAAGACGAAAAGAATCCGTTCCACGAGTCTCTTCGTCTTGCGGTTTTTTCGTCTTGCGAAGCAAGCCCATTAGCGGATTAGCGCTATTAGCGGCTTAGCGGATCAGCTGATAAGCGGCTTAGCGGCTTAGCGGATCAGCTGTTAAGCGGCTTAGCGGATCAGCTGATAAGCGGCTTAGCGGCTTGGGAAAAAAGGGGGGGGGAGGAAAAAAACCTGCAGGAACTCGCAAGACATTTTCGTCTTGCAAAGCAAGCCCATAGGAAATTCGTTTTGCGAAGCACCTCCAAAACGGAAAACCCTTTCGTCTAGCGGGTTTTCCGTCTTGCAAGGCATTCGTCTTGCGGGGCACCACTGTACCATAGTGTGTGGTTGTGAACATTACCTGCTAAAGTCTTGCAGAACGGACTTTAGCTTAACCCTCTTCCTGTCGTCTCGGTGATTTATTTCTCTTTCCCTCGCCTCAACAGTTGACCAGTTGGTGGTCCTTGAAATCGGGGGTCTCAAGAGGCAAGTGACTTCGTCTCCTGAGAAGGTGGGGAGAGACCAACAAAGTGCCCCCGTCCTTCTGTGTCTCATGAAACAGACTACAGCCACCTCCGTCCCCGGCAGAGACCATCGCTGAGAAGGGAGATGACCCCTTCCTGCTCTCTCCCACCCCAGGCTCTCTCCTCAAATGGCTTATTCCAAGGCACTGACCCTCTTGCTTCTCCCATTTGACTATCAATTCCACATTACATTAACGAGGGGAGGGGGGAGAATTAAAAGTTGGTGGTTTTGAATAAGCTTTTGTGCTCCTGTTTCTTCCATTTGTTTGAAACTAAAATTGTATCCAAGTAAAGGTTGGCATATTTCTAGAAGACACAAAAGTTCCTGATTTTTTTATTATTATTTTTTTGGAAAAAGAAACTCAAAGTTCTTGACCTTTTTATATTTAGGAAACTTCTTCAGCTTTTTTTAGACAATCAGCCTTGAAATCCCACACATTTTGCCGGCTCTGCCACCAGATGGCAGCCCTATCCCGAGTTGACGAAAGAACTTGTGGTTCTATCCCTTTCACAAATTGTTCACGTTCAGGGCAGCTTCAGAAAGGTTTGCATTCCTTAACTCGACTTCATTATCAGGTGCGCAGGCTGGCTCTGCCTCAAGATCTGGGGCAGGGAACCTCGGAAGAGCAACTTAGGTCATGTTCCCACCATACATTTAAGGTGCCCTGGTGCCACTTCCATCACCATGGCTTCCCCCAAGGAATCATGGGAGCTGTAGTTTGTTACGGGTTCTGAGAGCTGTTTGGAGAACCCTGTTCCCCTCACAGAGCTACAGATCCCAGAGTTCCCTGAAAAGAGAGGGTTGGTTGTTAAACCACTCTGGGAATTGTAGCACAACTCTCAGCGGACGACAGATCCTAGAATTCTTTGCGGGGAAGCCATGGCTGTTAAAAGTGGCGTCACAGTGCTTTAACCGCAGAGTAGGAATGGCGCCAAAGTATGAGATGAGTGTGGAAGGAAAATGACAGGATATATTAAACAAGGCGGGAACGATACTTTTGAGAGACATAGCCTAAAATAATTATTACAGTGGTGCTTTGGGCTACAGACACTTCAGGTTACAGACGCTTCAGGTTTACAGAGTCCGCTAACCCAGAAATAGTACCTCGGGTTAAGAACCTTGCTTCAGGATGAGAACAGAAATTTTGCGGCAGCGGGAAGCCCCATTAGCTAAAGTGGTGCTTCAGGTTAAGAACAGCTTCAGGTTAAGAACAGCTTCAGGTTAAGAACGGACCTCCAGAACGAATTAAGTTCTTAACCCGAGGTACCACTGTATTCATCTGGGCCTCATCCATCTGGGAAAATAGTCCATCTAGGAGAAGAAAAACTCTGCTCCTAATTCTCCGCTGCCTTGTGGGTTATCTTCAGGAGAAGAAGAGGCATAGGAGTAAGCCCTACACAGGCGCCAAACATCTTGCTCTGCTTTCCTTTGGACCACATCAACGAGGCTGAGAGGGGGGTCTGGACATCTGGGCAGCCCAGGACCTCCAGACACACTGCCCAGGCTTGTGCCCGATGGAGGTCACTTCTGTGCTGCTAACACAGTGGTTTGACTTCACCCTTGGAGGCACACTCCATTGTCTATTGAGACGGACGGATGCCAACAACGATGATATAAAAGGGAGAAAGCCTACTCCATTTAGAGCCCTTGGATTAGCTAATTCTACATTATCTTTAAAGCCCTTTGTGGCTTAGGGCCCTCGTATTTATGGGACCGCCTCACATTGCCCCACATTTACCCCCATCACTTTCCAAAATGTGAAAAATCCCAGTTTTCTTGTTCTTTCTTTCAGTGGAGGTGTTGCTCCAGTGCAGGCAGAACATAACTAACACCACACAATATATACCAGTATTTAAAAAGTTAAATAACACCATTTTTTGTTTTTGTTTTTAAAAATAAAAAACACCGAAAACAAGTAAAACTATTTTAATATTTTTTTAATCGAATTTATGTACTATATGTTATTTGCTTGCTTGTTTCTTTGCTTGCTTGTTTGTTAATTACCTACAGGCCCCAGGGCAACTCACAACATTAAAGCAAAGTATTTAAAAAACGAAAAAACGATGTTAAGGAATTTTACAATCATGAAGATGAGGTGAGTTCCTAAAGACAGGCACCTCACACTTTAAGAAGCATTCCTGCATTGCAGTGGGTTGGACGAGATAATAGTAATAATAATAGTCATAATAATAATAATTTCATTTACACCCCGGCCAGAGCCAATAGGGAAAAAAACACCAATTTAAAATACAGGTTAAAATGCAATTTAAAATGCAGCCTCATTTTAAAAGTAGCCCATAGATCAAAACCATAAGGGGAAGGAAACAAAAGGGTCAGAGTGAGTTCCAACCAAAGGGCAGGTGGAACAGCTCTGTCTTGCAGGTCCTGCGGAAAGACAGCCCTTAGGTATAATAATAATAATAATAATAATAATAATAATAATAATAATAATAATAATAATAATAATAATAATAATTGTATATCCTGCCCTCCCCAGCCGGAGCTGGGCTCAGAGCAGCTAACAGCAATTATTTCCAGTTCTACAAATCTATAAATCTATGATAATATAAACAACCAGGTGCACTCTCCCTAAAAGCACCAGAGTTTTTTTATTCGCACCAGGGACTTTTGACATTTTTAATAATCCAAATCGGAGATGTCCTAGTTTTGCTTTGTGGTTGTTGTTTTTTAAGACAGCGATGCCCCGAAAGGGTTAAGCCGAAGGAGTTTCCCCCTCCTGCTTCCTAGAGAGGACAGGAGAGAGGGATGGAAAGGGATTAGCAAATTGCCCTTTTTCCTGTATGTAGTGGGGGGGGAAGGGGGAGTGGGCTGCATTGCATTGCTTGGCACCTGCAGGAAGACTGGAGAAAGAGGCAGAAGCAGCAGAAAGGCCCAGAAAGGAGGTGAATAGCTAAAGGGAGCTGGCGGGGGCAGGCAAAGGACTGGGAAGGGAGAATTGGGGGTCATCTGGAGGGGAAGGAGGGCAAAGTAGCTGGAGGGGTATAAAATGAGGGGGGGGGAGAGAGAAGCCCCTTCAGATCCCCACCACCACACACAGGATTATTCTGTTGGAAGCCGCCCAGAGTGGCTGGGGAAACCCAGCCAGATGGGCGGGGTATAAATAATAAGTTGTTGTTGTCCTCCTCCTCCTCCTCCTTCTCTTCTTCTTCTTCTTCCCACTCAGCCCCTTCCAGATCCAGCAAGAGCTTTGCACAAATGCAGGATTGGGGCTGGTTCAATTGGGGATAAGGGGAGGCAGTGCCCCACCCCCCCACCCCAGTTCAGCCATAGGAAGCTGCTGCCTCTCTCAGACCCTCCAAGTGTCCCTATTTTCCAGGGACAGTCCCGGATTTAGAGAAGCTGTCCCAGTTTCTGATTTGATCCCACAATGTCCCACTTTTTATTTTCATTGGAGAAATGTTGGGGGGCTACGCCGCCAGGGGTCAGCAAACTTTTTCAGCAGGGGGCCGGTCCACTGTCCCTCAGACCTTGTGGGGGACTGGACTATATTGGGGGGGGGATGAATGAATTCCTATGCCCACAAATAACCCAGAGATGCATTTTAAATAAAAAGGCACATTCTACTCATGTAAAAACACGTTGATTCCCAGACCATCCGTAGGCCAGATTGAGAAGGCTATTGGGCCAGATCCAGCCCCCGGGGCCTTAGTTTGCCTACCCATAAAGGTTAAGGTAAAGGGACCCGTGACCATGGCCGTGGCCGACTCTGGGGTTGCGGCGCTCATCTCACTTTATTGGCCGAGGGAGCCAGCATACAGCTTCCGGGTCATGTGGCCAGCATGACTAAGCCGTTTCTGGTGAACCAGAGCAGCACACAGAAACGCTGTTTACCTTCCCTCCGGAGTGGTACCTATTTATCTACTTGCACTTTGAGGTGCTTTCGAACTGCTAGGTTGGCAGGAGCAGGGACCGAGCAACGGGAGCTCACTCCTTCGCGTGGATTCGAACCGCCGACTTTCTGATCAGCAAGTCCTAGGCTCTGTGGTTTAACCCACAGCGCCACCCGCGTCCCTGCCTACCCATGGGCTACGCTATATAGGAAAGACAGTCCTGTATAAGGGAAGCTTTTAACTTTTGATTTTGTATACGTACTTAAGGTGCGTATGTCAGAGGCTGGTTTAGAATTATATTTTGGGAATGACTGATGTTATTACGTCGCTGCATTGTTTTATACTTTCCGTACGTCCCATGATCATGTTATAAAGTAGTTGTGTTACGTGTTTGAAATCAAGCACTGCTATGAGTTGTTTCTTTTTGTTCCATCAATAAAAATAAAAAAAATCCTGGTGCAGCGTGAGCAAATTTTTATTCTCAAAGTGTGTCCCAGAGGAAAAAAGTTTGAGAATCACTGCCATGGGGACCTTCTGAGTGCAAGGCAGATCTCTACCACTGAATCACAGCCTTTCCTCGGCCAGCCTCTCCCTCTCTCTCTCTCTCTCTCTCTCTCTCTCTTTCTTTCTTTCTTTCTGGCATTTCCCATCCACTTCCAGGCAGTATTAATGCAGTAACAGTGAGGAGGCATGGCAGCTTGTAGCTTCTACACAAAGGTACACAAGCCCCATTCTCTCCTGCAGCTGACCACAATCTTCCCATATAGTCAGATTTCTCAGAAAAGAAAGAAAGAAAAGAAAAATAGGGAGAGTTCATTTATTCCAGCCCTACGAGAGGCTGACCGCTCACCTCTGTCAATTTCTTTCTCTCTGCTTTTCAGGCCCTTGCTCACTGTGGTTTCTTCTGGGATTTTCCACAGCGCACCTTTGCCCAGGGATGAAGATGGAGGAGGAATATCCTGCAGCCCGGGGAGAAAGAGAGGAACCGGAAGGAACAGGGAAAGCCACTCATGCCCTCTTGAATGCTGGTGGCCGCAAACCCAGGATGGATTTGGAGACGCAGAGTGAACTCCCCAGAGCAAGGCATTCGGGGAACGCCGAGCGGTTCCTCGAAAAGGGGACCCCACATCGCGTGAAGGAGGAATCGGAAGAGGGCTTGGCCCATTGCTGGGAAGCCCAGTGGCAGGAGTTTTTGAGGACAGTGGAGTCCCCTCACGCGGAATGGGGAGCCCCCCAGTTGCCGGAGGAGCCCACCCCCTGGGACGACGCCAAGGGCTTTCTGGCTTCCTTCGAGCAAGTGGCCCAAGCCTGCCGGTGGCCCCAGGAAGAGTGGGCAGCCCGACTCCTGCCGGCCCTCAGGGGAGAAGCCGAGTGGGCCTTTGAGAGGCTGGATGCCAGAGACAGAGAGGATTATGGGAAAGTGAAGGCAGCCATCTTGAGAGGGGACGCCTTGAGGAGGGAGAAGCTGCGCCAACACTTCCGGCACTTCTGCTACCAGGAGGCCGAGGGGCCCAGCGACGCCTACAGCCACCTCCAGGAGCTCTGCCAGGGGTGGCTGAAAGTGGAGAGGCACTCGAAGGAGCAGATCCTGGAGCTGCTGGTCCTGGAGCAGTTCCTGGCCATCCTGCCAGCGGAGATCCAGAGCTGGGTCAGGGATCGCGGCCCGGAGACCTGCTCCCAGGCGGTGGCCCTGGCAGAAGGTTTCCTTTTGAGGCAGCAGGAGACTCGGGTCAATCTGGAAAGCCAGGTGGGACCACTTGGCTGTGGTTAGTGTCAGTATCGGTGGCCTGGCCTAGTCCGGCTTGTGGGCTTCCCATTGGGCCACTGTGAGAACAGGATGCTCAACTAGGCAGGTCTTTGGCCTGATCCAGGCTCCCCTTAGGGCTTCATGGTGTCCAATTCCGAGTTGCATGGCTGGGTTCTGCGACTCAGCCACAAAGCTGGCCACAGAAGGAATCCCCTTACAGTCCTACACGCTAGCAGCCAACCCGACTGCCAGCCCTTACTCAGGAAAACCTTACGTAGTTACCATCCACACAGAAGAAGGAAGGTATCAGGAAATCATATAGAATTGTAGAGTTGGAAGGGGACCCCCAACGGTCATCTAGTCCAACCCCCTGCAATGCAGGAATCTCAGCCAAAGCATCCATGACAGATGGCCACCCAACCTCCAAGGAAGGAGAGTCCACAGTCTCCCGAGGGAGACCGTTCCACTGTCCAAACAGCTCTTGCTGTCAGAAAGCTCTTCCTAATGTTTAGTCGAAATCTCCTTTCTTGGAGCTTGAAGCCATGGGTTCGAGTCTTGCCTTCCAGAGCAGAAGACAAGCATGCTCCCTCTTCCATGTGACAGCCCTTGAGATACAGTAGACACTCAGGTTGCAAACATGGTCCTGTCAGGAGTTCAGCCTACACTCGAGTAGGACTCTGGCAGAGACACATGCCCGACTGGCATGTTCTCTCCCTCCTGATCAATCGTTCCGGAGCTTCAAAGTTTTCTTCAGCCCAAACATCACAGCGACCGTTGCCAGCAGAAACCAGCACACTTAGGGATCCGCAGAGTCTTTGCATCATTGCGTGACAGACCTCAGCAACTCAGCATTTTGGCTAATCTACTTTATTTACATATAAACACACACACGGAGCACTGCAACATGGCTCCCTCTCTCTCTAGCATCAGACAGCAAAGAAAAAAAGAACAAAGGACAATAGTCCCACTTCACGGAACACAGTAACACAAACATCCTGTCTCCATCAAATCCCACTCTGTGGAGTCAAAACATACACTGTCATGTGAAAGACAACAATCCTATGACTGCAATCAGGGAGCAGGAATTCTCACACATCCATGTGGGAGGCAGCGTTCGCAACCCGCAGCGCCACATCTGTGCACGCGCGGGTTGCACTTCTGCGCATGCACAAAGCGCGATTTAGCGCTTCTGCACATGTGCGAGCGCCGAAACCCGGAAGTAACCCGTTCCGGTACTTCTGGGTTTCGGCACGTCCGTAACCCGAAAACGCGCAACCTGAAGCATCTGTAACCCAAGGTATGACAGTATTTGAAGATAGCTCTCATGTCTCCTCTTGGCCTCCTCTTTTCCAGGCTAAGCATACCCTTCTCCTTCAGCTGTTCCTCATAAGGTTTGGTCAGTGTATCTGACTATTGAACAGAAGGTTGGTGGTTCGAGCCCACCCAAGGATGGCTGCGGGCAGGATTCCTGTATTGCAAGGGGTTGGACTAGATGACCCTTGGTGTCCCTTCCAGCTCTAACATTGTATGATTCTATGATGGGCAGGTGGGCCACAGAGGAACCTCTAGTTTTGCAGTAGTACAGAAGTGAGGAAAAGCAGTCCCAAGAAGACTGAGCGTGCTCAGTGGGCGCAGAATGCTGACTGGCAGTAGGGCAGAGAACCTGGGGACGAGATGGAATGGTATGGCTGGAAAAGGGCCTGGCCGGCATCCTGAACAAGAGCACTCCTGAGCGGCAACATTTTATTTCATGGTCCGTCTTGCACCTAAACATGCCTTAATGAAACTGAGTCCTGAGTCCTCCCCTCTGAATGCCAATGAGGCCGCTAAGGGCAGGGTGGAGGACGCAAGCAAACCTTTGCTTCTGATACTTTCCCTAATATTAATAATAATAATTTATTATTTATACCCCTCTCGTCAACAAAATATTAATATACAATAATCTATTAAACATTAAAAGCTTCCTGAAACAGGGCTGCCTTCAGATGTCTTTTAAAAGTTTGGTGGTTGTTTTTCTCTTTGACATCTGATGGGTGTTCCACCAGGCGGGGGCCACTACCGAGAAGGCCCTCTGCCTGGTTCCCTGTAACCTCACTTCTCTCAGTGAGGGAACCGCCATAAGGCCCTCGGCGCTGGACCTCAGTGTCCGGAATAACGATGGGGTGGAGACACTCCTTCAGGTATACTAATGCAAGAGAGATGCTCTGCTTGTTGCAGGTGGTCTTTGAGGAGAAGGAGGTGGTGGCTGCAGGTTCCTCCATGTCTGCCCAGAGGCCACCTGAGGCCGGGGAGAAGCAGCCGCATGCAGCAGCCAAGCAGGAAGAGGACAAGGAGGACCTGCTGGGTAAGGAGAGGAGGGTTTTCCATGTGTGCCTTGGATAGTTTGACATTCCCTGCTGGGCTGACCTCCGGAAGCTACTCTCTGCTATTCTGTCTCCAGAGCCTATGGCCCCATCTGCATTATACATTTAAAGCAGTATCCTTTCATTTTAAATTCATGATTTCCCCCCATGCATCGTTGGGGTTGCAGTTTGGTAAGAGACAATTGTTAGAAGGCCTCTGTTCCAATTCCCAGAGTGGTTTGACCATCCACCCCTCTTCACAAGGAACTCAATTTTCAGACTGAAATTCCCAGGTGTCAAGAAAGGTTATTTATGTTCGCAACAACTGTGGCCTGTGCTTGGTTAGCCCAGAAATGGAAAAGGAGTGAGGTCCCAACTAAAAAAGAATGGCAGCTTAAGTCAACAGAATATGCACAGCATTAAGGTAAATTCAACAGTGTAAACAAGCTTTTTGTAAAATACCTTAAGGATGTAAAAATTAGTACTTTAAATTGTAAAACAAAAAAATTAATTTATATATATGCAGCAATGCAGGAATCTCAACTAAAGAATCCCCTTTGAATGTGGCCTAGGTTCTATTCAGAGTGGACACATTGAAAGGAATGAGTTCATTCGGGCTGCAGAGCAGCGGAGGATCGCATTCCACAATATCTCCACCAGGATGCCACTTTAAACAGCCACAGCTTCCCCCAAAGGATTCTGGGAGCTGTAGTCACTTAAGGGTGCTGAGAGTTGTGAAGCAACCCTCTCTTCCCCTCAGAGAGCTACAATTCTCAGAGTTCCTTTTTTGTGTGTGTATAAAAGTATATTAAGTTTTCTGTTTTACTATGAAAAATACTCATTTTACATCCTTAAGATATCAATGACTTCCCTTCTTCTCTTTCCATGGTTCATGTTACATATCATAAATCCCAGCATATTTTACAAAAAACTATACCATTCAGTATTCCATCACTGCATCCATCAAAACCTGTTCTCTTATTCTGTATGTTAAGTCTGCAAGTTGTGCATATTCTGACAACTTAAGTTGCCAATCCTCTTTGGTTGGGACCTCGCTCGTTTTCCATTTTGGGGCTAACAAAACACAGGCCGCAGTAGTGGCATACATAAATATACCACTTTTTTGACACCTGGGAATTTCCATCTGAATTATCCCGAACAGAAAGGACTCTGAGGTTTTTGAAGAAAGTACTTTTAAACATTTTTTTCAATTCATTATGTATCATTTCCCAATATTTTTTTAACCTTTTATGAGTCCACCCCATATGAAAGAATGTTCCTGTTCTATGAGTATTATTAAGGAGGTCTGTGATTGATTGATTGATTGATTGATTGATTGATTGATTGATTGATTCCTGGTTTTGAATGATTCATTCCTGGCTTTTATCAGGTTTCTTTCTTCATTTCAGATGGTGGTGTATGGGAGAGCGAAGATGAAGGTGAACCTCGCAGGACCTCCTCAGAAGCAGGCCAGCAGGAAGCATTGAAAGAGAACTTCTGGAATCAAGATGGATCGAAGATGCCAGACGGAATCCATGTGGAAAAGGGCAGAGATAAAGCTATTCCTTGCCAGAACGGAGACTTCCATGAAATCGTAGTTCAAGAAGAACAAGAAGCAGAGAAGAGGAGGAGCAGGTGCCTCAGTGCACATTGGAGAATCCACACAGGGGAGAAAACCAACAAAAGCTTAAAGTTTGGGAAGAGCTTCAGCCAGCACAGAAGCGTCACAGAATATCAGGCACTCCACTCAGGGATGAAGCCGTATAAATGCTTGGAATGTGGAAAGAGCTTCAGTCAGAGCACGCACCTCACATCCCATCAACGAATCCACACAGGGGAGAGGCCATATAGTTGCTCGCACTGCAGCAAGAGCTTCAACCAGAGCACTAGCCTTATTCAACACCAGAGAATTCACACAGGCGAGAAACCGTACAAATGTGCCGAGTGTGAAAAGAGCTTCCGCCATAGTACGAGCCTTACATCACATCAGAGAATCCATACCGGGGAGAAACCGTACAAGTGTTCTGACTGTGGGAAGGGGTTTTGTAATCAGTCCGGCCTTATTAACCACAAGACAATTCACACAGGGGAGAGGCCGTATAAATGCTTGGAGTGCGGGAAGAGTTTCAGTCAGAGTACGCACCTTACATCACATCAGAGAATCCACACGGGAGAGAGACCGTATAAATGCTCGGACTGCAGCAAGACCTTTTGCGACCAATCAGGCCTTGTTAAACATCAAAGGATTCACACGGGGCAGAAGCCATATAAATGCTTAGCGTGTGGAAAGAGCTTCAGCCAGAGCACAAATCTTATTCGGCATCAGAGAATTCACACAGGAGGTGAAGTCTCCATATTAACTTCCCCATACTCTTAGAGTAGCAGATGAGGTCCTGTTCCAACCATCTTTGGTTTTGGAGAGCTGAACAGCTGGGTCTCTTCCATGGTTGCTCCTTTGCAGGACTCCCTCTTTAATGCTCGTGACTTATTTGTGGTTTTATAATTACTCAGTTAGTTGAATGGTTTTTAACTGCATGTTTCCATTAATTAGTTTGTAATGACCTGGATAGTTGTGTAGAGGGCCATCTTGGTAGCAGCGCCCTCCCTGTGAAACGCCCTCCCTTCAGAGATAAAAAAGGAGATAAAAAAATTACACGACTTTTAGAAGACATCTGAAGGCAACCCTGTATCGGGAGGTTTTTAATGGATCAATGTTTTTATTATGTTTTTAGATATGCTGTAAGCTGCCCAGAGTGGCTAGGGAACTCAGCCAGTTGTGTGGGGTATAAATAATAAAATTATTATTATTATTATTATTTATTCATGTCGACTGCCTAGGGCAAGGTTTGCCAACATGGTGTCCATGGGTGCCCGTATGTCCACCAGAACCACTGAGCCTCTTGGGCTTGCCGATCAGAAGGTTGGCAGTTCGAATCCCTGCAATGCAGTGAGCTCCCGTTGCTCTGTCCCAGCTCCTGCCAATCGAGTTCGAAAAGCACACCAGTGCAAGTAGATAAATAGGTACTGCTGTAGTGGGAAGGTAAGCAGTGTTTCCGTGCGCTCTGGTTTCCGTCACGGTGTCCCTTTGCACCAGAAGTGGTTTAATCCTGCTTAAAGTTTGTCTGTGGACAAACACCGGCTCCTTCAGCCTGAAAGCAAGATGATCACCGCAACCCCACAGTCGCCTTTGACTGGACTTAACCGTCCAGGGATCCTTTACCTTTCAACTTTATGGCGCCTGTGAAGGGTCTCACCAAATATCCCCTCAAAAATCCGCAATGTAGGAGACACTATTTGTTCTTCCTGCTCAGTTGCTGATTGTACTGGCTCAGCCTCGCCTACATTGAACATGCCCACTTTGAACATGTCCACATTTCATTGGATACTAGGACAAACACCTGCCCTCCTTCCCGCTCTGAACAGGTGCAAAGAGTTTCTCTCTGTGAGCAAGCACTGTGAACGGCTGATGTAGGTGGCTCCCCCCCCCATTAATTGAGGGAGGTCTTGTTGTTTTTCTCTCTTGCATGTGGTAGCAAGAGACTTTGTGTTATGCACACACACGCCCCAACAATGCCCCGTCCAATGCTAGTGTTTTGTGTGTTTGTGTGTGTGTCTCTGTAAGCCAATGGATTTCAAAGGGCCTCCAACGTGGGCATCTTATCCACATTTACTGGAGAGTAATGGATGGATGGATCAATGTCAAGTTTTGAACATGCTCATTAATAGCTCTTGTCTTTTGTGGATTTTTTTTTTAAGCGTGGAAAAATTCACATTTTAAACTGTATGCATTTTAGGCACTGACTCCCTCTAAAAATCTCATTTTCCCCTGGTATGCTTTCCAATACCCGTCCCCCCTAAAATATGCATTTTGTACCCTTCAAAACAAACAAACAAACAAACAAACAAAAACTTCATTTTTAAAAATCAGAGGCATCCATAGCTGTGCTCTGGTATGCATTTAAGTCCCGGAGTGATGAATTAGGTCAGATCACTTAAAAAGTGTGGTTTGAACTAATTTCTTCTCTCTTCCAAAACCCCATTGGACATATTTGAGTGTCCTCCTTCAGAGTGAACATGCACACGATTAGACCGAGCATAGGATGAAGGTGAGGTTGTGTGACTTTGCCATTAGCATTTTGTGTTAGTCCTTGTTTCCAAATACATGTACTGTTCTTTCCTTGTTATATTTTTATTAGGTTTCCAGTTGTAAAGAGCAATAGAGACACAGCTTAGAAATTAAATTGCAGCTGTATACAAAGCAGTGTTAATTCTCAAAAGGAAACCATTTGTTGAACAAAGTAGCTTTCTTTGCTTTTCAAATCCCACTGTATTCAGATCGTATTTTAATTTATATATATTTTTGGAAGCCGCCCAGAGTGGCTGGGGAAGCCCAGCCAGGTGGGCAGGGTATAAATAATATATTATTATTTATTATTATTATTATTATTATTATTATTATTATTATTATTATTATTATCCCAAGAGCACAAGGATTTCCACTCACACTCGGCCATGAGGCACCTGCTTTGCAGCCAAGTTGCTCATTCCCATTGGATCGGGAAAACATCCTCTTCACAATACAAAAAGAGACTCTGCAGAGGGGCCAGAATAATAGGGCTGTTCATACTGCATTGCTCTTACATCAGGGCAGCCTCTGGCACTGATTGGCTGAGCTGGTTCATGAGCATTCTGAGTTCTGACTAGTAAGGGAATGAAGTTGTCAGAAGATTTGCTGCCTGTCCAGACCCTGTGAGGGAAGGGCAAGCTATCAGTTTGGTTGGGATTTTTTAAAAAAAGAATCTCACACGAGCGCTGAAAGAGGGGGAACGGTTCTCACTGTGTAAAAAAATTAAGGAGCAAGGGAGCACAGGCTGTTTAGCTGAGGGGAGGCTCCAGATTAGGAAACAGATTGAGAATCAAGAACCAGAAGGAGGACTTGAGGGAAAGATCAGGGGGGCACAGGCTGGGGAGGCCCGGCCAGATGGGCGGGGTATAAATAATAAAATTATTATTATTAAAAAGCAAGAAAGGAAAGACCTATTAGAGAGGAGACGCTGAAGAAGGCACAAAGCTCTTGGGTTTGGAGGGCCTCTATATGGTGGTTGGAGAAATGAAGTGGTGGTTCTCATGAAACCGATCAGGGGGCTCGGATAAGCTAAAGAAAGTAGGCTGTGCCCCCAAAACTGGGGTCTGTGGGCATTGTGGAAAGGAGGAATCTGAGAGAAAGGAGGACAGGGCATAGCCAGTGGGGAGGACCAGCTGCTTGTCATGCAGAAGGCTTGGAAACAAAATGGTTTGAAATCCTGGAGAGCTGCTGGCAGTCAGTCTAGACTCAGAACGGGGTAGGTGTGGCCCTGGAGAAGTTGCTGGACTCTTGCATCCGCTATCCCTGAGCACTGGTCTTGCTGGCAAGGGGCTCTTAGTAATCACAGTGTCTGTTTCTAAGTTTTGTTACCAGACTTTTTTCAATGAATCCGGGGATACTTGTTCTTTTTCTTTTTTTGAAGCTGAGTCAGTAGTGGGGATGGTGAGGCAAAAGACCCTGGGCCCAAGCACACATGCAGATTGTATAAAGGTGTAAAGCCCTTCTTTTGCACCCTGTGAAACATAAATGCGCAGTTTTTTTAAAAACTGGGCAACGGAGTGCTGCCCACTTGTGACTCCCGAGCTTTCCCCAATCTCCTTCCCCCTTCCCCCTTTGTTTTGACAGATCAGGGGAGGTTCGGGAGTCACGGGCGAGCAGCCGTTGCCCAGGAGGGGCCAGCCTGGTAGTGCAGTTGGCTCTGGCTGGCTTCAGGAGCGGCCCGCTGCCATGGCGCCCGCCATATTTCCTCCACCACAGCAGCGAGCCGCTCCTGAAGCCAGCCAGAGCCAACTGCACTACCAGGCTGCTGAGGCTGCGGCTGCCACGTTTCCTGGGGACATATTTGCAAATCCGGGGACTGTCCCCGGGAACTGGGGACGTCTGGTAGCCCTATTCGAAGTGCTCACAGACCTACTGTTCAATTACCTGTTCTTTGATCTTTCCTGGTATCCACACAAGCTGACCAGTCGGAAGATGGGGACATCTTGCCTGCCTCCAATCTGCAGGGATCTCATCTCTTCTCCAATAACGATGATAGATTATAGGCCGAGGCTCTGAGCTCTAAGTGGGGCTATCTTTGAAGGTGACCTGGAAACGACAACTAATCCAGAATGCGGCAGCCAGACTGGTGACTGGGAGCGGGCGCCAAGACCATATAACACCAGTCCTGATAGACCTACATTGGCTCCCAGTACATTTCTGAGCACTGCATTTAATATATATACCGTATTTTTCGCTCTATAACACGCACCAGACCATAACACACACATAGTTTTTAGAGGAGGAAAACAAGAAAAAAAATATTCTAAATGAAACAGTGGATGTATGATTTTTGTGGTTCATGCTGTGGCCACAGACATGTGATCTGACAGTGAGTTTGGAGTAGCCCAATGCAAAAATCCTGAGGATCCATGTGGATCCATGCTTTGTAACCACGTTTTTGCACCACTGCGACCCTAGGCAACAGTGGGTGCGTGATTTTTTTGGTGCAGGCTGTAGCCATGGACATGCTATGTTATCTGATGGTGAATTTGGGGTGACCCAGTGCAAAGATCCTGTGGATCCATGCTTATAAAAGTCCCTATTAAGGAAAAAACAGACAGGATATACGAAGTATGATTTCTTTTTTATTTACGGTATTTCTTTTTTGGCCACCTCTGTCACTGCAACCTTTGCTCTGTGCTTGCACACTTTTGGGCAATAGGGCATGTAACACACTTTTTTCCATCTGCCAAGATGTAGAAAATCAATTTTAATGTCCCTATATAAAATGCCTAGTGAAGCAGAAGGGTATTACATCAGCCACTGTATTAAGGCTAAACGTTTGAAGAACAGCTCCCTATTGGGGGGGGGGACTAAATTCCATTTTCAATCAATTGTTATTGTGGCAGCAATTATCAGTGTATAGCGCACAATGAGGAAATGAACTTTAAAAAAAATATATAAAAAACATTCTCACGTTATACTTCTTCAAAGAAGAGTATTAGGCTTTTAATGAAGGGGAGAGGAGAGATGCTGTAATCCTCCTGGCTCAGGAGATTCTGATTTACCTGCCGCGTTAGAAAGTATAGATTAAGATATTTGATATACAGCATATAAATCCAGAGATTTCCATGTCTCACTCTGCAATCCAGCCTGCTGTTACTTACCAGCAGGGAAGCAGGGTTTCTCTTCCAAACAAGCATACTGTCTCCCTCCAGCAGTACATTGCTTGGAGAAGCTGTAATTTGGAGGGGGCCTGGGGGCAGGGCTCTCTGCTTTTGGAAAAGAAATGAGAAACCTACCATTGTAAAGCAAAAGTCCCCTCCACCAAACCCAAGCCAGCCCTCTCTCTCTCTCTCTCTCTCTCTCTCTCTCTCTCTCCCACTTGCGTGTTTTTCGGCTGCCTGCGAGCTCTAGGAGGAGGTGATTGGCAGGAGACTGCACGCAGTGTGACTAGGAAAGAATTAGAAGGACTCGATCATTTCCTTAACCCTCTGCTTGCCAGGAGGGCAGGGGATTCCCTGCTCTTTGTTGAGTTTGAGCAAACGCAGCAACAGAAGCGGGTGGGCAGTAAGACCCTGAGGCAGAATGCAGGAAAGCAACAGCTTCCGCCTTCCCTCTTCCC